AAGGAATTGAAAGGATTGAAAGTAAAAGGCCAAATCTATAAACTTCAGGCTTTTGCAGACAACTTAGTCATTATACTGGAAGACCCAGTGCATTCAATAGAAGACCTGATGGCAATGTTAAAAAACTTTGGTGACATGGCAGGAATGAGAATAAACCGAAAGAAAACAAAAATACTTACTAAAAATATAAGAGAACAAGAGCAGGAGAAGTTAATAGAGAAGACCAACTTCCAAGAGGAAAACAGAATTCGATATTTAAGGATACAAATTACAAAGAAGATGAGCACGTTATTCAAAGATAATTATACGAAATTGAAGGAGATACAGAACAATTTGTAGAAATGGGATAAATTACAATTATCGTTGTTAGGAAAGATTGCGACGATTAAAATGAGCATCTTGCCAAAACTCCTATTCTTATTCCAGACAATTCCTATCATATTAAAACAGTCTTTTTTCCAAGAACTTAATAAGATAATCATGAGATTTGTATGGCAAGGAAAAAAAACAAGAATCAAAATTAAGGCAATGCAAGATGCTAAACAGAGGGGTGGCTTTGGTCTTCCAGATTGGGTTCTGTATTATAAATCCTGTATTTAAATTGGATAAAAGAATGGATAACTTTGGAAAATGATAGATTACTTAACTTGGAAGGACACGATTTACAATTAGACTGTCAAATCTATAGAATCTTATAGAGCAGTAAAATACCAGATGGTCCCAAACCTCAGCTTGGCACAAAAAGAGAAAGACAGGGAAGGAACGGGAAATGAGAATCAGGTGGCAGAGTTATTCTCTTTAATAACCAACTGTGATGGAACTGTTCAGCCACTCTGATGGGCTGAAAGAGAAGAGCCAAAGGCTGGTCTTCTTTTCCCTTTTGCTGTAAATGAAATGGTTGCTGCTAAGGCCCAGCTCTAGATGCCATTCTTCCTTCCTACCGGATCTCCTGTATTATCCCATCCCAGACAGGGCTTATTCTTTTCCTTTTTCAGAAGTGTTTTAGGTCCCTACTTTTCCCCTGAAAATGTGTTTTCTGCCCCCTAACCCTGGAGGGTTCTGAGATTAGCAGAAATAGCCTTCAGACAGTGGAATATTCTCATCCCTGCTAAGGCTTACGTTCTGACCAACTCAAGGTGACAACACAGACAGCATATTTTAAGTAAAGCCCTTAAATGGACTTGCAAATGTTGGCCCAGATATTGCCTCTGAATGACTCCATTTCTTACTCTTCACAGTAAAGTTCTGTCTGATGTTGGGAAGTATATACTAGACTGGGACGTCAAAAACACTGATGCTCAACAAGGATGCTCAAATGCCTATGTATGAGACTTTGGTTTTACTGAAAGTTGACATATTGCAGCACAGGATGTACATAGTTTAGGGCAATTTTGTAAACTCTGTTGTTCTCCAGCAGCTACAGCCCTACATAGGACTTGGTTGTGATGGCTGTCACTCCACTGGGTGTCAGAGAACCGTCCTTGAAAATGTAGCTTTTCTGGTGGGGCTATATTAGAAATGGGTTTAGTATGTGGTCTACTGGCACCCTTTTAAGTAATTGGCCATGGCTGTTTGTTTGTGTCTCTGCAAGCCATTTTACAGGTTCACATGTTCCTTCCTATCTAAGATTACCCCCCACACACTTAATATGACTCCCATGTGCTGTAATCCCAATATTTTGCCAAGTTATTTGATCACCTGGATTGTTTAGGGATTTCATGGCTCACCACTAGGTTTGGATTTTCACCTTTCCCTCTGGTCCTGCTTGCCTTCTCAACCTCTATCACTGGAGCTATCAGCAAAAAAAAAAGTTTAATTAATTAATTGTTGGCCTTCTAAGCAGTTGTTTTAGCTCAAGTAAATGTGCTTATTGTCACAGATTCTCAACATATGCACATTTGGAAGGAACAGAAGGGATTTCAGCCACAACTTAATAAATGTTGTTGTTTGATGTCAGAGGCAAAGACTATGTTTAATGCTTCAGTGTTTAGACCACATAGACACTGTGGGTGCTCACTGTTTTGGCATTCAGGTCATTGACTGAAGGAGGAAGATGGTCACTTGAAGGCATTTATCAGTGGTTCCCAACCTTGGTTCCCTAGACTGCAACTCCCAGAAGCCTTCACCACTAGCTGTGCTGGCCAGGATTTCTGGGAGTTGCAGTCCAAGAACATCTGGGAACCCAAGGTGGGAAACTGCTACTGTAGGTGACTAGTCAAAAGTGCTTAATCACAACCTTACTAGCAAAATGATTAGCAATTTGTGCACTTCTCAGCTGTGGTCCTCAATGTATTAGAAATAATAACTGTCCTTTTAGGTTGGAGAGTAAAGCTGGCTGCAGGTCCTTCTAATACAGTGGAGGCAAACCTTTTTCGGCTCCAGTGCCCAAAATGAGGGGGTGGGGAAGAAACCAGTGACTGCCATGCCTCCCGGAAGACCAGAACTGGAACAGGAAGTGGCAGTTTCAGGGGGAAACATGGGAACGGACAGGAAGTTAAAGGGGGAATCATGGCGACGGACAGGAAGTTAAAAGGGAGAATCATGGGGACGGACAGGAAGTTAAAGGACCCAGAACACGAAGAGAACGGGGGAATCCCAGCTGCAGCCACTTCAAAAGGATTGTGGCAAGCCAGAAGAAAGGGCTTCGTGTGCCAGCTGTGGAATGCGTGCCATAGGTTCATCATCACTGTTCTAATACTTTGTTGGAGACACTCCTGCAGCTAAGGTTGTTCACTCTTTCTACAGGCACAGCTCTGCCGTCACAAGGCAGGAGAAAGAGAGCACTTATGGATGACCCCATTCCCAAGAGGCTGGTTAAGCAGAAGGCCGTGGAATCTGAACGACAACGTATGGTAAAGGCTTTGGCTGAGCTCCTTCAGAGGACCAAGGGGTCTCCAGGAAGGATGGGCCGACTGCCAGCCACTGGCCCCAAAGTTAGTCGGGTGCTTCCTGAGCAGACTAAACCAGACCAAGAGCCTGGGGACTCCATAAAATCCACCATCTCTCCCATCCTCCCATTAGAAGCAGAGAAGACCCTCAACTCCATCGTCTCTTCCAGGCCACGAGGCCGGCCACGAGGCTCCTTCACCAAGAGACCTATTACACAAGATAGGCCTCCTTGTCAAAGCACCAAAGTTCCATGTTCCACCCTGGAGTCCAGCACAACTATCCCATCAGCGTCATCTTGTCAGGCGGATGACCCATCCTCTCAATCCTCTGAACCTTTGAAGAAACCGCCACTCATCTTAAAGTTCTTCTCCAAAGCCAGGCGGCACAAGTCTGGCCAGTTGGTGGTGACCCATGTCCGTTTAAAGACATCTGGTCATAGGAGGGGCCGCAAGAGAAAGTGGAGTGTCGTGCCCAGGAAGAAAATGTCCCCACTTCCCTCACAATCCGTCTCGGATTCAGAGGTCCCTTCATCGGAGTCAGAGAAGTCTGCCCCAGAACCAGAGCAAAAAGAGGAGTCTTCTCCTCTGGAGTTGCAGCTGGAGGCTCCAGCTCCAGACCCAGAACCACAGCCTCAGCCTGACCTTTCTGTCCCAAAGCCAGAACCACCTCTGGAAGTGATAACCCAGGAGCCAGAGCAACCTCCAGAGGTTCTTGTCCCAGTTCCGGAGGCCTCTGAGCCAGAACTGGAGGCTCCTGTTCAGGGTGGCGACATTCATGCTTCACCTAATGGGTCCTCTTGTAAACAAGAACCCCAGCAACAACCCTTCCCAGTGAATGATGGAGCGAGCATCCATTTTGAGGAGGGACCTTCCAGCATTGCCAGTTCCACACGGGCACAGTGTTTGAAAAGGGGTCGTGGTCGCCCACCGCTTAAGCATAGGCAGCGGACCCAGCGCTTAGCTACTCAACATGCACCAGCCAAAAACAGGGAGGAGGTCTTGGCAGTTCCTCAGCAGCCTGGAGGCCCTGGCCCAGAAGACGTGCCAGCTCTCAAGGCCACCTTCTTGAAGAATATACGCCAGTTCATCATGCCTGTGGTGAGCGCCCGCTCATCACGCCTTATTCGGACCCCACGTCGCTTTATGGATGAGATCCCCCAGAAAGCAACCAAGGCTGTGGAAAGCCCTGCCTCCGAAGGACCCTGTCTAGAAAAACAGGAGCCTGCTCCGTTGCTGTTGCAGGGAGCTTCCGTGGAGCCGAACCCCCAAGTCCCAGACTCTCCCGATAAAGATACCTCTAGGGCCCTCTCCTCCCCACCTTCACCCAGTGTGCCCAACATAATTTCCTCTGTGGCTCCTGCCCTGCCTGAGAAGCGACGTTCTATCCTTCGGGAGCCCACATTTCGATGGACTTCACTCAGCCCCACTGCTTCCCCCAAAGATATGGGCAAAGCTCTCTTTCAGGTTCCTTGTGAAGATTCCTCTCCTTTGCCCAGAACTCCCACACCCATCCCATCTCCTCCAGCCAAGCGTAGCCCTCTGCTGCGGGCCCCCCAGTTCACTCCCAGCGAGGCCCACCTTAAAATCTATGAGTCTCTGACGGTATCTCCGGAGGAATCGGAGTTGGTGCCTGCCTCCCTGGAGGTCAGGAGGGACACCTCAGCCCTGCAACAGGAGACCTCCTTGCTCCCTTATGAGCCAGTGGTAACCCGCAGTGGCAAGAGGCTCTTAGGAAGGGTGAACCACCTTGCCTTGCCCCTCTTCACGGAGGTTCCTCGACCTATGGAGGTTCAAAGTCAAGAGCTGATCACCATGGAGGATGTTAATTCTCCCGGTGTGGTCCACAAGGTGGCCATCCGAAGGGTGCTTCCTCCATCCATCCAGATAGATGAAGACGAGGAAGAGGAAGAAGAAGCTGGCGGTGATAGTTCAGAGAGCGAGGTAGAACCAGCTAGCCTGTGCTCCAAAGAACAGAAACCACCAGGGGAGGAGCCTAAGCCCAGTATAACGCAGCTGTCGAGCATGGACAAAGTGTACAGTCTCCTCACTCGTGCCAAGGTGCAGCTCTATAAGATTGACCAGCAGAAACAATTCAAATTTATTCCGGTAAGAGAAGCTCCAGGGATTGGGTGGCAGGGATAACGGACTGTGGCGAATGATGCTGGGGTGTTTGTGTTGTGTTGTGTTTGAGCTGCTTTGTGTAGTGGGTATGTCTGTGTGATTTACACAGGTAGTAAGAGCACTGTTTAATGAAGAGTAGGGGCAGTGAATAGGCAAAAGCCCAGTACATGTCTTTATATAGGTCATCTGATCCTTTCCATTCAAAATGTTTCACAAATAAAGAAACAGCATCATTTAGGTCATCCCAGATAATGTTTTTTGCTTTTGTTGAAGGTCTCAGAGTAATACATTGAGCATGGGGGGGGGGTGTTAATGCAGTGGTTCTTAACCTTGGGTTACTCAGGTGTTTTTGGACTGCAACTCCCAGAAGCCTTCACCACTAGCTGTGCTGGCTGGGGTTTCTGGGAGTTGCAGTTCAAAAACACCTACGTAACCCAAGGTTAAGAACCACTGGTTTAATGCTCAAAATCTGCTGAGCCAATACTGGAATCACATAATAGGCAGTCCATAATGCATTGGCAAATGGTTAGGGTAATATTTTCAACTTTACTTTATATTGCTCCATATTGTCTTAACATTGCTGTGCTTAATTATCATCTAGAGCTTACTGTGGGAGTCAAGTTGTTTGGGGGCTTCTGATTTGAGGCTGCCATGCATCAGAGGGAAGGGCTGCAGTATAGCCTTATGGTTAGGGTAATATTTTCAACTTTACTTACTTTATATTGATCTATATTGTCTTAACATTACTGTGTTTACCTATCATCTAGAGCTTACTGTGGGAGTCATGTTGTTTTGGGGCTTCTGATTTGAGGCTGCCATGTGTCAGAGGGAAGGGCTGCAGTTTAGCCTCCTTTCTGATGTGCAAGGTTTCACACAGGGCCTGTCTTGCACAGAGGAGGAGCACTGAAAACTGTTGAGCTTCTCGCTTGCTCCGAAGTGACTGAGGTACACATTTCTCATCTCAGTGAAAACTGAGCTGATGTTACATCTGAATCTAGTCCATTCTGAACCCCTTTTAATGGTTTAGGTGAGATTATGGTATATAACATTTTAAAAAATATGTTCAGCAGATCAGGAGAGGCCAGTGAATAGCATGGTCCAATACAAGTCTGCACCCTGAAATAATAAAGAAAGGACTTTTCCAGGACAACTGTGACATCATGTTTACATTATGCTACTTTGAAGGTATTTGGTCGAATCTGTGTGTTGTGCATAACTCCTCTTCCATTTATCAAGGAAGAGGCTAAAATCTATGCAGGGCACTAAAGGTACAGCTTTCTGACCACTTCAAAATCTTCATTCACACACGAGTACCACCCTTCTCTCCTGAATGTTCACCAGGCTTTGTCTACATATGACTATGCCTCTAAAGGCAATCTTAAGAGTTCGGTCCTTGCTTCTAAAAGTACAGAACTTGTGAATTTAGATATACCACACTCTGTACCACAACTAGTAAATATGGTTACATTAGGATTGTTTAGTTACATAAACCCCATTCTGAGAAAACAGTTAGCTCCTTGAACAATTAATTATCTTCCTGAATCCAGTGCAAAAACAGCAGAATTCATAGATAGGCCTGATGTCTATGTTCTTCAAGCAGAAATCAATCTGGATAATTACGATATTCATAAAAATAAGCAAATATACAGGAACATTTCTGCTTATCTGTCATAGTTAGTTCAGACAGTATGAGGCTATTGAGTGCCCCGCACCTCAGATCAACTGCTAGAAAACCTAAACCTAGCATTTCTTGTTTCCAGGAGTCTCAAATGAACTGCTTTCAGGTTTCCTTTTGCAACTGACAAAAGTTGAGGGAAGACGTGTGTAACAGTACTTAAGGAAACTTCAATCAGATGTGGACAACTGTCCATTTTCACACCCCTCTGAAGGTCTCGCCCAGTGAACTTGCCATGGTGGGGGATGTGGCATTAAAGAAAAGAGAGAGAGAAAGAGAAAGTATAAAATTCATCATTCTTGGTGCCTCTAATTTGACTGTTTGGTTTGCATATTTTGGGCTTTGTAATATGAAAAGGAAATACCCCCACCCATGTATGTATGTATTTATTTATTTATTTATTTTATTTTATTTCTATTCCGCCTATCTGATCAAATTAGACCACTCTAGGCGGCTTACAATAAAAACAGCAATAAATTTTAAAAACTTTACACCTAAGAGAAAAATGAAATAAAGACAGAATAAAAGAAGAAATTGTCAAAAGTTTGCAGCTGTATTGATACATAGGCCCATGGGTGTTCTCACGCATTGTGCTCTGTGAAAGACAAACCATGGTCTCACCATCACAGATGAGATGAGAATTGCTGTTCTATGTAAGGAAGCCAAGATTGCTGTAGACATTCAGCGCTAGCAGCGTTAACTTCAGATCTGTGATCACTTCTCTCTCTCTCTCTCCATTAGGGATCTCAGAGCGTCAGAGCCGAGGCCTTTGAGGCACTAAAGGTCCCAGCTGAGAAGGAGGTGACGTCTGAACTCAAAGGAGCAGGAGAAGACAGGAAAGAGTCCAGGAAGCAGGTAACTAGGGCCAGATATGCCCCTGCGCTTCAAGGGTGTCACGAACAACAGGTGGTGATGTTTAAAATTATGCCCCTAATCTTGGTGCATTGATATATTGGCAGAAAGGAAACAGCATAACGTACAATGATTAGTGAGTCTTTACTTGGCTTCTTAGATGCATATCAGGTCAACTGACTGACACACAACAAGGAATCCATGCAGATACTCATTAGTGTCAGTTTGCCACTGTGAGTTATGTCATTTTCCTTGTGCTGGTGTAACTGAGCAACAGGGTTTTAGATAATGGATAAAGTCAAATGTAGAGATGTTGGAAATCCTTATGTGAGGGCTTGATCAGCTTGTCTTTATTAAGGATTTTACCAGGACGTTCCTCTTGTGTCTTCCTTGCAGGCAGTAGGTTGGGGAAGAGATTACATGAGCTTACAGGTGTTGCTGGGCTATAGCACCCCTCAGCCCTTTAGGCGTAGTCAGTGCTGAGGCGACACGAGAGTTGCAGTCCTACAGCGTGCATTTCCTCCCCCACTTATTAGGGGGTACGGGCCTATTGGGATTTGAGACTGGGTTGCAAGAGCCTGCTGGATCCCTGCTGGTGTAACAAGTGCTAATGGCTTTGCTTTTCTCATACAGGGCCAGGAATCCCCAGTACAGGGTCCACGGATCAAGCACGTGTGTCGGCATGCCTCTGTGGCCCTGGGGCAGTCTCGGGCCATGGTGCCAGAGGATGTACCACGCCTCAGTGCCCTGCCATTGCGGGAGAGGGAGGAGATCGCTGCATCGCCCACCGTGGAGGGTAAGTAACGCTTTACTGAGGCTGACCAGGTGCTCTGCTTCCCTTTTTCCATCTCTTCGTAGATGGGCTACATGAATATATCTCAGTGTGGAAATATGGCAAAGAAGATGAGTGTTGATCCTTAATGGGATAAAAACATGGAGGAGAATGGGAAGACATTATGTTGACTCTGTTTGAGCATGAAGTAAATGTTGCTGGAATACAGTGAGGAGGCATGCATGCTCATTTGGACTAGCTTTAGTTTTGGGAAAGGTGAGATTTACTTCAGTGGAGAACGCATGAGAGAGGATGCAGTGTGTACACAGATGAGTCGCTGCTTCTCTTTGGGTTTTGCAGTGTGCACACACCATCTCCCCTTCTCAGATACTGTACGCCACACATAATGAAAAGGATTTTGTGAATTTATTAACAAGAGTTTTCTGCAGATTGACATGTACATACTACGGAACACTGTCCTGTATAGGAAGGGTACTTTATATATACTGTATATTGGAATAGCTGGTGAGTGCAGCTTTAGCAGGATGCTGTCAAGGAGTCGTCAGGGGCATATCTCATTCTCATGGTCCTCCGCTTCTAGGCTGTGCTTCAGGACAGGTTCTGTATTCTTGCCTTAGCCGTGAAGTGGAAGTGTGGGAAGCCTTTCTTCCTAACACAGATCGCATTGAATCCTCAACAATTCTTATCAACAGCATCTAGTCCAATGCTTCCACAATTCTGCTGACAGTATGATTCCAGAAAATTAATCTTTTCCCTGTCTCATGGCAGCTGCGTTTTAATTTTAAAGGTATATCCTATAGCCGACAAGAGCTGCTGACATCACAGCAATATAGCCAATGTCTAAAGAAGAACATCTTATTTTGGTGGGTTTTTCAGGCTCTTTGGCCCCGTGTTCTGAAAGTTGTTCTTCCTGACGTTTCGCCAGTCTCTGTGGCCGGCATCTTCAGAGGACAGGAGTCAGAACTCTGTCCATGCTCTGTTGCTGTTTGTTGGATAGTTGAGTATTTATAGCTGTGGGAACAGCTATTGTCCCTTTCAGGAGATAGGGTGATGATGGTGATTAGCATGTTTTTGTTGTGGATGTATTGTAGTGATAAGGGGGAGAGATTATCTGTCACTGTGGTTGATGGAAAAATCAATCAGAGTGAAAAATTCATCCTGCAAAAGGTCAAGGAACTCTACCCAGCCACAAGGACCAGGGATCATTGCACAAAAAAGACCAGCTAAAGACACCCATCAATCACAGTGACAGATAATCTCTCCCCCTTGTCACAACAATACAGAGCATGGACAGAGTTCCTACTCCAGTCCTCTGACCCTCCTTTCTACCATTCTTCTCTCCCACAGAGACCTCTTCAGCCTCTGAGAGTGAAAGTGGCCACCAGAAGCCAGTGAAGGCAGACACGGCTGTCCGGCCCGCCCCACCCCCTGTACGTCGCCATGTCTCCCACCATCACGGCAAGAAGAACCGGATGACACGCTGTGGGAAGTGCAAGGGCTGCCTGAAGCTGCAAGATTGCGGGGAATGCATCAACTGCCTGGACAAACCAAAGTTTGGCGGGCCAAACACCAAGAAGCAGTGCTGCGTGTGAGTTTGCCTGGGGGCATCCCTCGCTCCCACTTGGTCACCCTGCTGGTCAGATTCACTCTGGACTGCTGCTTGGGAGCGAGAAGCCAGGATTTCAGGATTACTTTTCCTAGCCAAGAAGAAAGCATCTACACTCTAAAAGCCTGTTGCTTAGCATAGTACATTGGAACTAGAGCAGGCCCCTTGAATCAGTGTGGGTTTGGGAGTCAGCTCCTCTACCACCTCCACACATTTCATGGAGTCAGTGGACCTACTCTAGTTATGACTCACTATGCTAAGCAGCAAGATTTTTAGCCACTATTTTTGAGAGCCTATGACTTCTGTAATTAGGCACAACCACTATATAATTTGCTTTTGGATGCATTATTTAACATCTCAAGTGTCCCAGTAGTTCCCCCCCCCTTTTTTTTTTTTGCATGTATGTAGTTCTTTAGATTTGCCCTGTTCCAAGTTTAAGGAAGCAGGTACACTTGTGCAAGCTGTCTCCTTTTCAGTTGAGAACTGGGGGCATGTATTTGTGCACCCAAGTGCCAATTCTTTCTGTCAGCCTTGCTTTTATTTTAATGAGATATACATTTAAATGTATGTCTTCTGAAAGCATAATTGGAATTAGACCAGAGCAGCAGTCTAGTGAAATCTGGATGTGTTTGATGCATTATTTATTTATTAAAAGGTTTCTAGCCTGCCCAGTTTTTGGCAAGTCTAAGGTCAAGGTGCAGACTGTAAGGTCATTTGAAACAAACTAAAACAATTAAAGCAGTCTAAGTCATAAAACTCAAACAAAAGTGGTGGTTATTAATATAGCTCTCTTTCTTGTGGTTAAAATACTAGATGTCAGTTTATAGTACCAGCTAAAACTATAACAAACATTTAATAGGCTGAGCAGATAAGGGGAACCAGCTTATTCCTATAGCCAGCCAACATATGTATGAGTTTCAACTTTTGACTATGCACTTAATGAAATCAGTTACCATTTGGATTATTGCTTCTGGATGTTCCTTGGTGCACACGTGGGCAAACAGAGCCCCTCTAGGTGTTTTGGACTACAGCTCCCATCAGATCTAGCCAGTATGGGCAATGGCCAATAATCTTTGCGCTTGTAGATCAAAACAGCTATAGGATACCAAGTTCCTGCCCCTGCCATTTAAATCTCACTTGCATCCTCTGATGCAGTAAGATTTCATTCATAAATGTATTTTTGCACTCTTGTACAAAGGTCAAGGATTCTAAAGCCCTTCAGATGATGTTGGGCCCAACTTGCCTGAATCTCCACTAATGAGCCTAGGAATGACAGCTGGCAAATACGGTAGTCTAATAATATGTGGAAGGCTCAGGTTCCTTATGCCTTCCTTGAACAGGCGGCGTCCTGGGTTTGGACGTTTTCTGTCTCAGTGACTAGCTATGACCATGTTAGTGATATGGAGAAGAAAGGAGCTTGGATCTTCATTGCTTTTCCGGAATAGCCATTGACCTGTGTTCTGCTGTTAAGAGCAGAAGGAGGGTTGCGTTGGATAAGGTGGAGAGCCTTGAGGCCCGCATTCTGTTCCCTCAGCAGGCAACTTAGGTGTCCCAGGAAAACCCACAAGCAAGACAGAAGAACGATGGCACTTTTTTGTGGTGGTGGTGGGGAGCAAACAAGCTGTGGTTAATCCTGGCAGAGCAAGTACTTGCTTTCCTCTCTTCTGGTTAATGTATTCTTGAACAGACCGGAACAAAGGAGCAAGTAGACTGAGATATCTGAGCTGTGGGTGTGGAAGGGCAACCAATAGTCCTCCAGAGAAGAACCCTGGATCTCTGCCACGTAGCCAGTGGAAGCTGCCATGGACCCCTTCTCACTTGGATCTTATCCGTACGGATAGAGAAACGCCAAGGAGGATGAATTTCTTCTGTTTTTAGTAATTGTGCAAGAGTAGCTGAAGCAAAAGAAGAATAAAAAAACAAAGAAGGCAAAAACATTGTAGCACCTTAAAGGCTGTTATATTTTAATGCGGGTTTTCGTGGATAAGTCCAATAACTTAGATCTGAAGAAATTAAAATACAGTATAGCAGTTAGTCTTTAAGATGCCACAATTTTTTTGTCATTTTTATTTTTTTAATTTTTCTTTTGCTTTGGCCTGATATACTAGCACAGACAAACATGGCTACCTCTTTTAAAACTACAACTGTGCATATCGGTAGCCTAGAGAAGCTCTATATGGGTCCTCAAGGAAGGAAGCATCTGACGTCCAGCTCTTGGGCAATATTTGCCATTGCTATGGAAGTTAGAAGCTTTTTTCAAAATGGGAGCTGAGGACATTTTGGAACACTTACCTAAAGTACTTATCCATGATGGCTTTATAACAGTAATAAGGCATAGTTATAAATGGATAGCAACAGTAACCAGTCCACTTTTCCTTCAATGACACTGAGCCAGTATATATATTCCCACCCCTCTTTTATTTATTTATTTATTTTTATTTATTTATTTATTGTATTTATACCCCACCTATCTAGTCATTTCGACCACTCTAGGCGGCTTACAACAAGTGATAACAAGTTCTAAAAAATTTATAACAATTAATTAGATGATTCTGTAAGATGGGAAAAATAAAAATAAATCAAATAAAGAGAGAAAGAAAAAGGAAAGAGGACAGGAATTAACTGGAAGGGAAGGCCTGCCTAAACATCCATGTTTTTAGTTGGTTTTTTTGCACTATGTTTCAGTTTGGTTATAGTCCGGTTCACACAGTCCCTGACTGTTGGCCATGCTTTTTGGATTTGATGAAAGCTATACAGAAAAAAACAACTACACACAAGGATTTTGGTAGTCAGAAGTCCTGCGACTGTCCCCTACGTATTCTAGTTGAGAACCATGGTGATACTCTGCATTGGCTCTTGCAGAATGCATGTCCTGCAGAATAACTCTTGCTTTGTATTTTGAGAAGGGTTCTCCCACATGGACCCCTTTTTCCTCCCAAGAAAGGCTCCAATACGTTGGTGGCCATTGCTGATAGTGGGTTAGTTTAGTTGGCTTTTTGATTGTACAACTAAGACCATAGGCTGGGGTGAGCAACTTTGGTGGGTCTTAGAAAATTGGAGGGGTGATGATTCCAAAGCTGGAGATGGTTGGAAAGATGTATTATTTCGGGTTTAGCATTGGTGGCGTCCGAGAGCATTAGTTGACCTTTTCTTATTAGATAACTATTTTTTCATTTGGAGAAAGGAAATACGAAGGGGCCAGAGCAACAGAAAAATGCCCAAAAGTCACATATGGCCTTTGTTTTGCCCTTCCATAGACCATTACCTGACAACATTGTGCTTTGGTTAGAGCATTGGTTCTTAACCTTGGGTTACTCAAGTGTTTTTGGACTGCAACACCCAGAAGCCTTCACCACCAGCTGTGCTGGCTGGGGTTTCTGGGAGTTGCAGTTCAAAAACACCTGAGTAGCCCAAGGTTAAGAACCACTGGGTTAGAGCAGGGCTCTAGGTTTTCGTTGCTTTCAGGTTCACTGGACTCAAAGGGTTGTTCTGGGCAGAACCTGGAACCTTTACTGTTTTGGACCACAGCTCCCATAATCCAAAAGGGTTTGCAGTCTTAAAAAACAATTTTTCCAGGTTCTGGTTTGGAGATTATTTCTTTGCTCTGACGCTATACATCTGGCTTACTGACAGGTATCGGAAGTGCGACAAGATTGAAGCTCGGCGGGTGGAACGGCTGTCTAAGAAAGGTAACAGTTGAGTGGCTATACATGGGTGGACTGCTCTTGTCCTGCTGTTAGTTGGATGTGTGATCACGTGTGGTCTCTTTTCCTGTGTCTTCGTTTTTTTTTTCCATTAGCTATTATCTGACTTTCTGATTTAGGGGCGTTTCTAGATATATTTATAACCTTGTATAACCACTTTGGGTCCAGTCCTACACGTGTAGGGTGGCATAGGCGGAATTCTGCGATGAATATCCAAACTGGGATCACAAGCACTGATTTCTACACTGTAACTGGTTTGGATAACACGTTTAGCACTTCACGTTAAAACTGCCTACTTTTAGGAAAGCCTTGAAAACACACTTGTTTAGAAGAGCTTTTAATGTTTAGCAGTTTGCTGTTTAAAATTTTGTACAAGTCCGAGGTTGTCGTGTTAATTGTCTGAATTGTAGATTTTGAAATTGTGTGTTTGATACATTCTAATTGTCGTACAGATTCTTGCTTCTGTTTGTTTTTACCTTCTTGTAAGCCATTTTGGGCATTCAATTTTTGTGGAAAAGGGGGGGGGGAACGAATTACATTAATATGACTACAAATTGTTCTTCATATTGTATCTTGGTGGGTGATCTTTTGCAAACTGTGCAAAATTTACATATTAAATTGTTTACATGTTGTTACACAGTGCTTATTTTGTGATGAAATTGAAATTCAGTATCTAAGCCTCTTATGAAGCATTGGGGAGAAGAACACTGAAGCTCATGGAGAGGTAATCGGGTGGCAGAAATGGCATGTAAAACGCCCTTCCGGGGAGGGGGGAGGTGTTAGGTACCCTAAAAGAAATCCCACTCCTTTGAAGGAAGTATACTGTACCCCCCTTTTTTTAAGGAGGAGGAGACATATTTCTAGATTTCTGCATTTTCATGATACTGTTGCTGATATTTTTAAACTAAGTTAAAGCAGGAATAGGAAACCTCGGCCCATCCTGATAGCTCACAATTTCCATCAGTCTCAGTAAACATGACCGATGGGGGAGGCAGATGAGCATTCTTGCTCAAACCAGCTGGAGTATCAGAAGTTCCCCAATTTTGCTGTAAAACATGGCAGTGGAAATCTTCACACTAAGTTTATATTTGGACTTTCCCCCTTCCTCTTTTTACCTGGAACCAACTGGAATTGAGGAGGGGGGAATGGCTCAGGGGTAGAACCAGTTATCACCCATCTCCCCGCCCCCCCCCAGCCTTGTTTTGGAATGAGCTTTATGCATGAATCTGCATTTGAATTACTGCAGTTCTAACATTCTGATCTAGACCCAGACATTGGCTGATTTTAAGCAGCGAAGAGTTAACAACTCTTGACAATGTGCTTCAAGTCACCTTCCAGCTTTACAGTTCTAAAATTATAATTATTATCTTCTGTACCTCTTGATGTAAAGCATACTGGAATCCAGGAGTATGGCTTGCTATTACAGCCTTGTTAAATAAGCTTATGAAAATGCATATAATAATATTTATTTAATACCAGACTAAGGGGCTGGCATCCTCTGTATCCATGCTGGCTGCAGAAGAGGATAACTCAGTATAGAAACCCAGGTGGACTGGCAAAGGGAAATTTAAACTCCATCTATCCTTCACCAGCCAACTCATTCACTTGCTTGGAAATCTATGCACTCACCAGCACAGTACCTATGGCTACTACATGAGTTGTTAAATGCACGGCAGTGTTACTGAGTGAAAGATAATTCCCAGATATCTGTGCACAGCGTGTGTTAACAGGCAGATTTGGAAATCTGTGTTTTTCTTGCTGTCCTGCAGAGGGCTTTAAACTGTCACCCAGAAGGTTTGCTTTTTTTAGATTACACGTCCCAGAATCCCATGCTGGAGGATTTTAGGAGTGTTAATCCCCAAAAAATGACCATTCCAAGCCATGCTTTAAACTTGTTTGGAACAACTAGATACTATCATAAAACAGTTCTTGGTATTTAATTATAGGGTATACATATTTTGTACTTTTCTGAACACGGCACTGTCTTATTCCAGCCTGGAATATATTCCCAAAGGTATCTTCTGTGAGCCTGTAATGTAATTTTCTTCAGGAGCATTGAAGGGGGGGGGGTGTGCATGGATTTTTCTGTCCACACTGGTAAACTATGATTTCCTTCCCAACACAGTTACCTTCCGTGCAGATGGATCCAACTCAGAGCTTGGAAAAGCTACAACTCCTAGAATCACCCATCAGTATACACGACCATGTTGGCTGGACTGTGTGGGAGTTTTAGTTGAAAATAATTACTTTTTCTGACCTTCAGTGCAGCTGGTAGTAGCAAACTTCTTTGTCACTTGGCCTTCAAGCAGGCTACTAATTCCCTCCTCCACCCCCCCCTTTATGCTTCCTCTTAAGAACTGTGGTCTTAGATCAGTGGTTCCCAGCCTTGGGTAACCCAGGTGTTCTTGGACTGCAACTCCCAGAAGCTTTCACCAGGACACCTGGATTACTCGAGGTTGGGAACCACTGCTCTAGATGTTGTTGGTCTGTAAATACCATGAGCCATAGTCAGAAAAGCTAGTGTTGAAAGATTCTGGTAGTCCAACAAGCCACAGTTGCCCACCACTGCTGTTATGGAAGTTGCTTTTTTGTTTTGTCAGTTTAAGTGTGAAGCTTTTGTCATCCCAGTAATTGAGGGCACATAGCAGAGAGCAAAAACATTTTCTGTAGACTTCTAATCCTTTTGAACAGGTTGTCCAGCATCCAAAATCTGTAATCACATTCACAAATTACCGTATTTTTCGCTCCATAAGACGCACCTTTCCATAAGACGCACCAATTTTTTAGGAGAAGAAAACAGGAAAATATAATCTGTTTTCTTAGCTCCATAAGATGCACAGACTTTCCACACCCCTGTTTTGTGGGGAAAAAGTGAGTCTTATGGTGCAAAAAATACAGTAAATAAGTTATGTACTCTTCTAAACAGTTGCTTTTCTGGCCAGCTGCAGTCAAATGCTTAACAAAGGATGCAGCTTTATTTATTTATTTATTTATTTATTTATTTACTTACTTACTTACTTATTTAACTTATATGCCACCCACACTACCCGAAGGTCTCTGGGCGGCTTACAGCATTTAAAATACAATAAAAAGGCAAAATAAAAGGGCAAAAGAATTAAAATGCAATTAAAATATATATTCTAAAAATTGCCAGGTTATGCCAGGTTAGGCTGTTTTCTGACTAGCAGTGGCTATCTCCTGTCCGTCCCTTGCTCCCAGATCCTTTTACTTGGAAATGTCAGGGATTGAGGCAGCAAACGTCCTGCAAACGAGTGTGTTGCCATTGAGCTGTCATCAGCTCCAAGGTAGGCCTGAATCTGAGCCCAGTGACCAGACTCACCTGAGCTCTGACATTGTCTCAGCTGAAGATTAGTGTGTATTGTGTGCAGACGTTCTGCTGTGATTGAATTTCAGCATTTCTTGGCCTGGACCTTTCAGGTGGTTGTGTTGGACTATAAAGCCCATCACCTCAGCATTGCTGTAGTGGCTGGGGATGATGGGAGTATAGTCACATGTGAAGGGCTCTAGGTTTTAGAATATCTGATCTACACTTGAAGTTCTCAGACCTTTCTTCTCCCAAATGTTTTGGACTTCAGCTGCCAGAATCCCTGATGGGGATCTCAAGGGTCAGAAGCTGAGAAGCACTGCCGTACATAATGCTAATCTCCTTATCTTTTCACGTAGTGCTCTAAAAAGTTGCTTATTCACTATGCTTCTCCCGCATTTAGTATAGAAATGTGGGCTATTCCACACTGCTTTTTGTCTCGGGGAGGGTATTTCTTTTAACTTTTGTATCTCAGACATCTTCATTGGAACCCCAGGAAGGTCTGCTTTGGTTCCTCAGTGGTCTCTCCCATGGGAAGTGGTTTAGCAAGGCAACCCTATTGCATAACCTCAGGTGATACCTTGAATCTAGGAACCTGTCTTCCCTTTACTTTGTCCCTGTTCAATGCTGGTTTCCTTGGGATGCTCAGAACTGCTGTAAAATATGGTAACTAAAATTGAATGTGAGTGTTCACCTTCCACTGCCAGTACATGGATATGGGATGTCATAATCATGGGGTCCTCCCCCTCCCCCCAGTTGGCTTATTGCCTTCTGCCTCAGTGGTGTCCAACTGTACCCCTTTGGTTTGGATTTTCCTCTGAGTGCCATTCTTTCAGTCACCCAGAGCCCCTGTGCTACGAAGATAACATATTCCCGACCTTTTGTTTTCTCAAATGAGTGGTTAAATATAAATAAATGCATTGCATTCTCTGGGGCTGTCCTACCACACTATCATCAGTGGGGTTATGGAACCTGATCTGCTCTGACTTCGCCTACAACACTGGCGAGGAAATCCTCTCCAATCACATCTCCAAATGGTGCCCTCCTCCTGCTGTGCTGAGCTATGTACACTTCCTTCAACTACTGTGTTTAGCCACATGTTTTTTTCTGATCCCTCCCTATCCTTTCTGAGGGCAGATTCTGTAGGAGTCTGTCATATGGAAGTTTTAATCTTCTCACCATTAAAATATTATTGTCCTTATCTAGTGTTTGTATACTGTTTCATGTATTCTAAGGATTTTGCATACATTTCTTATGTTGACACTTAACAACAACCTTGTATAGTAGGATGGTATTCCCATTCCCATATCTAGTATATACTGAAGCTGAGTGTTTCTGGTTTCCTTGCAGTCATGTAGTAAGAAAAGAGAAGTGAGATTTAAGTACAGTAGGACCCCCCCCCCAAAGAAATCTGCGGAATTGTCATCCGCTGATCCACTTATCCACTGCCTGATAATATTGAATACAAAAACTAGAAATACGTGTTTATATGTGTTTCCACTGTGTATTTACCAGAGCTGGCCACTAGAGGGAGAGAGCGCCCATGCTATGTACAGTGTTTGCTACTTCCGCATTTTTCAGCATCTACTGAGACGGGTGGGTTTGGAACCGATCCCCTGCAGATACTCTCCTGCAGATACTACGGTGTACTGTTCATATAGAATTATTTTTAGGTATCTGGCTGCAGAGCCAGATGTGGCAGGTTTGATTCCTTTTGCAGATGGCCTTTTGTACCGCTTTCTTTGTAAGTAATCATGTGCCATCAAATCTATTCTTACCCATGGTGACCCTTTCCAGGGTTTCCTAGGTATAGAACAGACAGATGTGGTTTATTGTTATCTTCTTCTGGGACTGTGCAGCTTGCCCAAGGCCATGCAGACTGGCTTTACTCGTAGTGGGGAATTCAACTCTCAACCTTTTGGCTCTGCAGCCAGATACTTAAGCTATGGAGTTAAAGGAACATAATTCCCAGTTACCTCTGGGGACCAATTCTTAGGTTGTTTTTTTGAAAGTGGAAAAGATAGAACAGAATAATACTTCTCTTGCTAATTAAGACTCATAGTGGAATGGAGATAAAACCCACAAAATTCTATTCAAAAGGCCTCCTAGGACCATTTCTAAAGGTTGCTAGAAAATGTTGCTTGTTACACCCGGAGTAGTTTTGTAACTACTAGAGCTATGACTGGAACAAGAGGCATGACATACCATCCATTTAGGTCAAGTCACAGGAATACAGTATGTTTTAACAGTGGCCTGGCCTTCTCCAATATGGTGCCTTCCAGATGTTTTGGCCTACAACTTCCATAAGTCCCAAGGGGCATAGTCAATAGTGAGAAGAGCTGTAGTCCGAAACATTGGTTCCCAGCTTTGTGTCCCCAGATGTTCTTGCGCTAAAAATCCCAAAAGCCTTCATCAATAACTGTGCTACCCAGGATTTTTGGGAGGTATAGCCCAACAACTACTGGTCTAAAATGTCTGGGAAACACTAGCTTGTGGGAGGCTCTGCCGGGGATTCCTTCTTGTCTTCAGAGGTGGACAAAGTTTAGAACTTGTCGCAAAAATACAGTGACCTTGAGAAGGACAGCACAGGTGTCTGGTTCACAGCCACCATGCCCTTTTTTCCAAGTACAGTTTTCAATTGGTAGATCTGAGAAAGGGAGTTTCCACATGCAACACTAGTACTGCCTTTCCATTTGCAAAGTGTCTGTTATCAATGCAGTTTGTGTAGTAAAAGTAAGCCTCACTCTAGAGCTTCCCTATAACTTCCTCAAGGGATCTGTCACCTGCGTAGGAGAAAATGCAAGGGAAGGACCAATGGTGGCATTCTGCTGGTGGAACAGTAGAGTCCAGTGGAATCAGGAGAAGGATCAATCTCCCCACACCACCCAGTTAGTCTCCCAACTCCAGCTCTCAATAGTTGGGAAGCTGTCTAGAACTGGTTTCAGCCAGCACAGAGAGCTAGAAAAGGAGAAGGAAGCTCTCAGTGTGATGCTGGATTTAGCCCAGAGTCTTCAATGCCAGCTTAGGCCCAGTTAACTGGCCTATTACCATCAGTATTACGGTCTTATTTTTGAGATTCCATTGATACAAATGGGAGCATGAGTCCGTAAGTGTTTAATACCTTCAGACTTAAGGCTGTCTTCCACCTGAAAATCTCTTTTATTTTATGTTGTGAACCACCCAGAGAAGGATTACACTCTTGGGGTGGGATAGGTGTGGAAATAGAATAAATTAAGCATTCATCACATTACTTTGGAAATTTAATTGTTACACCTATATTACCAAAAAGTAACTAGTTACAGTTAACATTTCACTTTGGTAGTTACTGATAACACTCTGTATGTGAGTTTATGAAGCTGTATCAGTTATATCATTCCCCATTCAGTGAACTGCAGGACAGATGGATTAATATCAATTCACTTCTTCTCTTTAGCATTGGGGGAAATTGCTTTGGTGGGGAAGAGTAATGGAGATTGCAGAGTTTTCAAAGTGTATAAGAAGACCTCTGTCCTATCCTCTGTTGGGTGGAATGAGAGCAGTTATTGGTCAGTGATGGATGGGTGGAGTTGCAGAGAATTACAGGTAGGTTTGTGGTCCTACGTGGGATGAGGGACGGGTCTCCTCTGGCTCGGGAGGGAGGAGAAAGGAACTGGGCAGGAGCCATGTAGAACAGAGCCAGGTTTTTTTCTTTCAAAAAGAGCCATTGTGATCTGAGAGGGGTTGAAAAGAATAGAATCTACCTGGCGGTCCGGGTGTGAAAGAGACAGAGAATGGCAGTCCTTTCCTGCAAATTGAAGAAACCTTGATCATGTGAGCAAATGAGCTGGGAACAGAGATTGCATTGGGGGGGCAAGGTTTTTTCTATTCGCTTAGGTTTTGTTGACTGACAATTGGAGCCCAAGGCTGTTGGCTGTGCTACTTGTGTGTGTGTGAGTGTGTGTGAGTGAGTGTGTGTGTGTGTGTGAGAGAGAGAGAAACTTAGATTTGGTAATTTCTTAAATCACCCCTCCCGGAATCCCATCTCTCATGGCCATACTGGCTAGGAAAGTTTGAGAGTTGCCCAAAAGTAACTTTTTCCAAGCTCAGTCTGTAACACTCCCTGCACAGCTTTTCTGGCCCTTTTCATATCTACTGCTTTTTAAGATTTACTTTGGGAACTGTGGCAAAATCTATCACCATCACACACGCCAGGCACCCACCAGCAAAAGAGAAGGTCGTTCTCCCTTTGAGCTTTTTAATGAGACACAAATCCAGCCTGGGGGGTGGGGAAGGGCTGAAGTTGTTAAGGGAAAGCACTGCAGTGATTGCTTTGGTACCTAGAAAACATGCACAGAAAATGAGTCTTGTAGCATCTGAAGGTTAACATTTCATGTAGAACAGTCCAGAGGCTGTTTCATCTGCATATGATAAAGAGAACAATGGGGTGTTAAAATGTTTTACAATCCTGGGAGACCCCTTTTGGGTTTTGCTGCAGCAAACTAGTGGGGCTTGTTCTATTCACATTTAACTTGAAACTTAGTTAAATGTTCATGGGCTTGATTTGCAACTGCCTTTCTAAAGATAGAAAAGCTTTGCTCAGATCATCCTCCTGGCATTGCTAATGAGTCCAGGGGCGCTTCTAGGTTGCATTATTTTCCCCTTAGGATTCACAATGGTCTCAACACTGAGGTTTGTTGGGGGAGGGGGTTTTGTCCAGACCTTGACAGCTTTAGTTGCCTCTGTCCTTTTTTCTTAATGAATGGGGAAGAAAACAGGACAGTACTCTGTAGTAATTGCAATCAACAGAAGACCTGGCTAGCAATCAGGTGGGTGATGTGGGCCGACCCTCCAGGCATTCTTGGCAGGCAATGACCACTGACCATGCTGGCTAAGACTAACGTGCATTTTGGCCAGATAGATCAGGAGGGCCACATACCTCATCCAGAAACTTCAAATATTGTCTTTTAATAGTGTAAACTACCTTGGGTCCTTTTAAGAAGAAAGGCGTGGTAAAAAATATTTTGAATAAACAGAAACAAGCTCTATTCAGCTGTACTTTGAAGCATCTGGAACCAACGTGTTGAGAGGAATCAACTAGCTGTGCTCCTCCTTGTTGCCTCTTTAATTGCAGAAACACCATGAACTGGAGAGAAGGCAGCCATACCCAGGAAGCCCCCCCCAGGAACCGAACCCCCAGTGTGGTTTCTGGTTCACATGGAAAGACTACTTGGGCGCAGCAGCCGTTCCTCTTTTGTATTGGAAATTAGATCGTTAATGAGGATGGTGACATTCTCTCTGAGCAAAGCAACCATTTAGCAGTCTATTGAGAGAGGCAGGGTGGGTCCCCATAGAGTCATTTGGCCGGGGATAAACTGAGATTGTCTGCATCAGGTTACGTGAGTGGGGGGTGGAGCAGGGACTGACTAGTTCTTACAAGGGGTGAAAGAAAAAAAAATGTCTGAGGTTAAGGGAACTAGCAAAGACTTTGCCATAGGCAAGACCCTGCTTAGATATTGTGCCAGTCAGCTTTTCTGAAATGAGGTAGCTAAGAGCGTAAAAGCTGCTTCAAGGTATTTATTTATTTATTTTTAAATATTTTTACACACACACCCACACCTTTCCCTTTGAAAAGCACCAAGGCGGCTTACAACATTGAAAGACAACATTTAATGTTAAAAGACAATAATTAAAGCCAAGAAACAATGTGTATAAAAAGGTATCAGCATTAAAAGGCAATAATTAAAGCTAGGAACTGATTTTTTTTAAAGTCACTCTTGAGAGGTGTCATTTTATTAACACATTTCCTAGGAGCACCTGAACCAGTTGGGGCTTCCCAGTTCTCCATCTCCCACCCCTTTTATTCTCCCAAAAGATAGTGCCTTGTGTAAGATCACACAGAGAGCTTTAGGACAAAGTGGGGGATTTGAACCAGGGTTTCCTCATGTAGCACTTGAAAAAAAACAGAATACAACAGTAGAGAAGCCTCTGCTTCCGCCGGCAGCGTTCTTGAGTCCTGCCCATTCTCCCTTTCTCTCCATGATACATGAGTCTTCTGCACACACATCTGGAAAGGACCAGGAGCCCTTGTAGTGTAATGGGGTTGGGAGACAAATGGATGAGACGTGGTCCTTCCTTCCTTCCTTCCCTCCCGGTCAGCAGCCAGCGCCTGTCGGAGGCAGACTCTGAGACCCTGCTTTCAACCCCTGCCTTTGTCTTCAGGCCGCACAGTAGTGAAGCCCATCGTTCACTGGGATTCGGAGGATTCTCAAGAGGCCTTTCCGGCCCCCTTGGAGGTCATGCTGGGGGCCACGGAGACCGCCGAGCAAGACTCCTTGCTGCAGCGCAAGTCAGCCCGGCGCTGCGTCAAGCAGAGGCCCTCCTATGACATCTTTGAATCCTCTGACTCAGACACGGAGCCGGTGTCTGGCTCGGCCACGCATCGCCGGAAATCGTCCCGGGACTCAGGTAAGAGAGAAGCTTTCGGGCTCCTTGGCCCCTGGCTGCAGTCGAGGGCTTTGCGAGGGTCCCAAGGGCAAAATAACTCGGTGTGCCAATCCTGCACATAAATATCCTGGTGGTGTGTGCCTGTAGCTGTAGTTTCCCAGGAGACAGGGTTATGACCAGCTGCATAGAAGATTTGCATCAGAGCTTGAGAATTTTATTTTTGGAGGGATTTTCTGTTTATCCAGTATTAGAACATTGCACAAATTAAAATCATGGACATATATGAAATAAAGGTAAAATTAAAAATTAAGTAAGAAGTTAAGATAATTAGACTAATTTTGCCCGGAAGTGGGATGTTTCAATAGTGTTCTCTTAGCCATTTGCTAGATCTTCTTTTTTGTACGTGTGATGAGGCATAAATATGTCCTGTTTCCAAGTAGCCCCATTTTATTTGATAATTTTCTAATCTTCCTACATTGCTTTGGAGTCTATTAAGTGACTTCCAGATGGTCCAGCTAACATCTTCTTCTGGTGGGAGACACTCTTCAGCATTCATCCATTTAGCATGGATTATAACAGTTAGAATCAGACCATGCTGGCTGAGAATTCTGCATTTTATTATTTATTTATTACATTTATACTCTGCCTTTTCTCCAGAAAGGATAAGCTGCTGTGCAGGGCTCCCCGCTCCCCTTCATAACCCACCTGTGGGAGAGGGGAGAGACCATGACTGGCCCAAGGTCACCTCCTGTATTCCATGGCTGAATAAAGATTTGAACCCAGGTCTCCTGAACCCTAGTCCAGCACTCTTTAACAGTCCTGCTACTTTGGCTCTGAGAGTGAGCTGTTTCCAAATTACCTACATGGGGCGGGGTTTTCTGTAGGAGATTTGTTTAGGGAGGGGAATGGCCTTTATTGTTCTATAGCCCTTGAGCCCAGTCAGCTATCCTGACCAAAGAATGGGCTCATTAAGTCCCACCCACCTCCTCCACCCCATTGAAGCAGAAACACATTGCCAGAGCATTTCCTGTTTGGAGGCCTCTTGCAAAAATTCTTCATTAAAACATTTTCTTTCTTTCTCTCTCTCTTTTTTTCTTTCTGCATCATATGGGAAAGGCCACTGTTAACTTTCAGGCATGGGTGGCCTCGGATGAGCACTTCTGAGGGGTGGGGAAGGGCCTTCTGTTGGCATTGATCAAAGCTGGCTGAGAGTTTTGGGAGGGAAATCAACTCCTCCATTCCCCTGTTCTTTTCCAGATCTGCTTCCCATGGACGCTGAGGAGCAGAGTCGACCCAGGAGAACCCCCCTGCAGCCTGTGGTGCAGCTGAAGGCCAGGAAGAAGCCAGAGAAGGTGAGACGGCAACAGGAGGGGGAAGAGAAGGATCTGGCTTACCTGAGTTTTAAAGTGGGGCAGTTAATCCGTCCAGAGCCTTTGCAACAGAGCAGCCTGTTCCTGTAAGAAAGGAGAACGCAGTCCAAGGTCTTGCATAGGAAGGGGTCCACCATGCCTTGTCTTTTCAATTAAGCAGTGAATCTTGCAACTGGGCGGTGCAGGGTGGCAGCCATAACTTTAGGCAAAATGAGACCCCTGCCACAAGCCACTGAATGTGTATGTCTCGAAAGGGCATTAAATATTTTTTTTCATTTTATGGGATTTTCTACCTTTGATGTCAAAGCAACATGACCTGTCTTATGTGGGGACAGCCTTTGCTTTTCAGCATGATGGGCTGTGCTTCAGGCAGCAGAATATGCTCAAAGGGTTCCGAGTGTGTCTGCTAGGTGCCCAAGTTTTTATATTTGGAAAAAGCTGTGGCTTCCTTTTTTCTCTTTTTTTAAATACCAAGCTCCAGGCAGCTTCCCAGATTTAGCTCCTCCTTTATGATGTTTCCAGGGTCTTGGGAAACCAATTTATTTCAAAAGGCTTTAGACTGATGAAATGATATGTAGACTGTGCAGACTGTATTGGATAGCTTCTGATTCCTCCTCCCCCCCCCTTTTATGTTTGCAAAAGCTTGAAGTTTATATCAGAACAGATTCAAGCAAAGGAAAAACTCTATGCATGGGGGAGCTACAGGACAACCTTGCAGTGCGGGGTATTCAGTTCAGGGAGCCAGTCAGGAAACCATGTCTTATTTTGGAATATTCTGTTTCATTCTTCATCCTTCTACCATCTTAGTTTTCTTGCGGCAAGAAACAGCATTCATAGTGGACATGCTTTTTTTCTAAATAAAACTTCTGAAGGGTGTCATGATAACCATCTGCACTTCATAATTTACCACTGCACCACTACATACAATGTCTGAAATAAAGCAATAATCCTGTCTCCCTAATTACCTGATGGGAAAATAATCATCTAGCTACTATCCTAGTTAGGGGAAATGGCATTTATTTATTTATTGACTTTTTATATTGACTGATTAGTAACTATTGCAAGGTGGTCAACATAATGGAGCAAGCAATTGAGCCCTGAGCCCTGCCAGTTGATAAAAAACAGAGAACATAATAAAAACCGTTAACAGAAAAGAGACCACCCTATCAATGACAAACACGAAATGGGACAAGGGCGACCACAAGAGGAGAGAAAAAAGATTAAAGCGCAATGTGTTACAGTACTCAATCCTCACTTACGGCCATATACTATTGAAGACAGTTTTGAAGAATTCTGCCGTATCTAACTTTCTGAATTCTCATAGGGAGGGGGCCTGGTGCATCTCTAATGGCAAATTGTTTCATAAGGTTGGGGCCACCACCACGAAGGACCAGTTTCTTGTTGAGATCTTTCTTGCTTCTCTGGGGGTGGCTGTCACCAGCAGCAAGGCCTGGGGGTAATGATTGATATGTGTAGTCGTTTTTTGGAGAAGACATTCCGACAGGTATTGAGGTTCCAAACCATTTAGGGCCCCATAGATCAAAACCAGCACCTTGAATTGGGCACAGAAACTGTCAGGGAGCTAATATAGTTGGGAGTAATATAATTAAATGTGCTTATTCCCGCCATCAGCCTGGCCGCCAGATTTTGGACCTGGCACATATGATGCCTGCTGCTCTGCATGCATACACAGGACGTTCTGCTAACTTGCCATGGCCCCTTCTTTCTCTAGGATATCCCGCCTTCTGGCGCACTCCCCTCCTTCTCCAATGGCTGGAATGGGAAACAGAAATCCACGGATGGAGTCCACCGGCTCAGGGTTGATTTCAAGGTGAGGCATGGTGGAGTGTCTGCCTGGAGGGAGGACCTGGTTGAAGCTGTGACATGTAGAACCTCAAATAAAACTCAGTTGGGAGCACAGCTGCATTTGGGGGAAACCCATTAATATGACTTGGCACCCTTTCCCATGTCTGGCACATGTGATTAGATGATCAGCTGAGTATGAGCTGAGCTGAGCCGAGCACATTAAATCACAGCCGAGAAAGCTTTGGCCTTGTAAGTACCGGACTATATTTCCCAGCATCCTTAAATACAGTGGTCCCCAATCTTGGGCCTCCAGATATTCTTGGACTACAACTCCCAGAGGCCTTCACCACCACTTCTGCTGGCTAGGATTTCTGGGAGTTGAAGTCCAAGAACATCTGGAGGCCCAAGGTTGGGGACCACTGCTTAAATAGACCGGCTGGAGCTGTTTGGACTAGACGCTTGTCAGTCGTGCTGGGGGGTGGGGGAGGAGCTGCCGATTAAACGCGGCCCCACGCCGCCCAGCTGATGCTTCCTTGCCAAGTCAATTCTCAGTAGAAAATTTTACTTAGAATCTGCAGGAGCACAGTTTTCTCAACCCAGACATATAGCTAAAAATAATTCTAGTTAAAGGAATGGAGATTGGGGTATATACGGCAGGTGGAAAAGGCACAGCTGCCTCCTTGAGAAGCATTGGTTTAGACAAGCATGGGGAGGAGATGAAAGGGAGCTTTCTGCCATGTACTTGGAGGGATAGGGTGGCCCCAGTCCCCCTGCTGGTCCTCCTAGGGACCTCAACAAAGTATAGGCATCGTACCCCTGGTTGTTCCTCACATCTTTCTCTCTTTCCTTTTGTTCTGTTTTGTTTTTGTGAGGCATTGATGTTTGGGAGGTAATTTTCTACATGTATTTGCTTCCTTCAAAGCTTGTGGCTGGCTGGATAGCTCAGGGGTGTTTAGGTGTCTAGCTGTGGAGCCAGAGGTTGTGAGTTCAGTTACCTCTGTGTCTCCTGTGAGTAGAGCCGGCCTGTGTGGCCTTGGGCAAGCTGCACAGTCCCAGGGTGCCCCCCCAGAAGAAGGGAAAAGTCAACGACTTCTGAGTTGTCTCTACCTACAAAACCCTGAAAGGGGTTGCCATAAGTCAGAATGGTGTATTATTATTATATAGCTTGTAGTTTGGCTCTCAACTACCTCTCCCCCCCCGCCTCACCTCCTCCATGTAGTGCACCTACTCTTTGCTTCTAATATACTAGTTGTATGGGGGGAGGGAGGTGGCATTGATGGAGGTCTGCTCCTAATTTAGGATGGAAATTAAGCTGCATGGAAGGTACACTGCTAGTCTTGTATTGGGAACTGTGACAATCAGTAGCCCTACCATCTTCCAGCCAGAGACAGCTAGAGTTAAACTTAGGACTTTCTATTTGAAAAGCTGCATTTTTAACATGTGGTTCTCTAGTTGCTCTTGAACTGTAACTCCTTGGCAGCCCCAACCAAGATATTGATGATGGGGGATGATCAGGAACATCCAGAGGGCTGTGCATTGCATGTCCCTAATGTAAAACATGGGGTCATGAAGAGTCAGACACGACTAAATGACTAAATAACAACAACAACAATGTAAAGCATGTATGTCCTTCAGTGCTTGGGAGAGGTACTTTTCTGTGCTGCATATCCTAAGCTCAGGGATTCTGGGTAACTTTTCAAAACGTTGGATCCACCCCCCGCTCCAACTGAGCTGCACGACTTCCTTGGAGAACCAGATGACGCCTAGTGCCTAGTTCCGCTCCGTGGTCTACTGTGTCTCACTGTGAAGGCTCTACAGCAAACTTTCTTCCGCCTTGGTTTCTTGCAGGAAGACTGTGACCTGGAGAACGTCTGGCTGATGGGTGGCCTCAGCATCCTCACTTCGGTGCCAGTCACCACGCAGGTGGTGTGCCTGCTCTGCGCTAGCAAGGGTTTCCATCAGGTGCGTCTGAGGAATGAGGTGGTGGTGGTGGTTTGATTCCTGGATTATGTCACGGTGGGTGATGTAGGAAGGTTGGGGAAGAGGAGGGATTAAGATCTCCACTTGGGGTGAAGAAGGTCTGGATCCATGTGGAATTTTGATTCCTGGATTATGTCACGGTGGGTGGTTGGGGAAGAGGAGAGATTAAGATCTCCACTTGGGGTGAAGAAGCACTGGACCCGTGTGGAACGGGGTGGGACTTCGACATTCACCATTCAGAGGGTGACACCATTCCCTGCTGTGTCCCTTGCAGCTCGTGTTCTGCCAAGTGTGTTGCGACCCTTTCCATGTTTTTTGCCTGGAAGAAGACGAACAGCCGCTGCCAGAGCAGGAAGAAAGCTGGTGTTGCCGGCGCTGCAAATTCTGCCATGTCTGTGGCCGGAAAAACAAAGCATCCAAGGCAAGAGGGTGTTGCTTAGTGTGGGTGTTTGGTGCAGGAAGTAACCGGGACGGTGTCCCCAATACGGCTTCCTTAGCTCTGCAACTCTCTTGCCAGTTGTTCTCTTCAGGTCTCTGTTTAGGCTCCCGCTTCCTTTAGCCAACATGTATCCTGGCATTCCTTTATTTCCCTCCTTCCCGATAGGGTACAATTCTCCTTTGATTAGTACCATCTGTACCACCCCGAGGACCGTCATGCTGCCTTGAATGCACTTAGTCTCATCTTATTTTGGTAGACAAGCAGGATGTGTCCTGCCTGAAAACTTGGATACTCCAGTCAGTTGGTTTTGACTGGTACTTGGCCAGAAGAACCAATGGTCTCACTCCATTATAAGACAGCCTATGATTTCCTGTCTTTTCTTCACCCCGTAACCCACTTGTCTTTGTTCAACCCCAATCCTTCCCTCAGTCTTGTTGCTCTTTGTTCCTTCACTTCTTCTTCTGGAGAACTTTTGTTGTCCTCAGGCTTCCATAATGCAAGATTTTAACCCCTGTGCAACTGATTATTAGATTCTCATCCCTGACTGCAAGCGACTTCATTTCCCAAAGAACAGGATATTCTGAGTTGTCACAGCTGGAATCAGAGATGTTGTTGTCAGGAAGACGATGCAGTTTAGATGATGTTGCCATTTTTTTCCAGGTCTGAGAAGGCAGAGGAGCAGGAAGGGTCTGGGGCTCCATATGTACATTGCAGATGTTCATATGTATAACAAGGGAAGGGCAGATCTAAATGTTAAAGAGGAACAAGCTAGCTATGGCAGTGTCCCCGTTATACAGGGAGTGGTGAAGTGACGAAGATTGAGGCAGGAAAAATAATATCTACAGCAGGATGAATGGAGAAAGATAAATGAGAATTTGGGACAAATTTGGAAAGGATATTTAGAATGGGTTGGGCTATTCCCCGAGGTCTGGAGGGGGCTGCACATACATTCCTCTGTACCTCAGGTGATTGCCTCTGACCCACTTTTTATTAAATGGCTCGCTGGTCATTTAAGGAGAGTTTTGCCATGTTCTCCACCTCTACCTATTTTACATCTGGGGTGGTGGTGCCTTTTTTAAAAAAAAAACCTCAAAATGACCAGCTGTCAAGTTTTGGTTTTGAAACCTCATCTACCTAAAACAAGCCCACAAAATATGGTGAAATTGCCCCTTTCAGTGGGAGATACTTTGAGGGGCCTTTAGAGCTGCATGTGGGCCAAGAGAAGCTTGTTTGTCATCAGAAGTAGTGACATGCCTCTTTTTGTTTACAAGCGTTCAGAGCAACTGATTTTTCTGGATGGCAACCATCACATCCATGCTTGTCTGCCTCCCGTGTATAATCTCCCTTTCCCAGCCTGCTCTCTCTCTCGCTCTCTCGCTCTCTATTCCGTATATTGCTCCATGGCACCTCTTCGGTGAGCTGATTTGGTATAGCGATGCCTGGCTCTTCCTTTTCGTTTTCTTTATCCCGCTGCAGCAATTGCTGGAGTGTGAGCGCTGCAGGAACTGTTACCACTTGGCTTGCCTTGGGCCCAACTACCCGACAAAACCCTTTCGCAAGAGGAGGGGCTGGGTAAGTGCTCGGCCGTGCTTGCAGGGGGTGGGGGCGGCGGCCATGTTGAGTTAGTTGTAGGTATCTATAGATGTATACGTCCATGTCTTGTGGAATTTGAAAAATAAATTTCTCACAAGGATTATCGCCTTTGGAAACAAAAGTGAGTTCAGCCTTTCTCGTTACCATCCCTTGGTTTAGCTCAGCAGTTCACGCCCATTCCATTGCTTTTCCTAGAACAGGGAGGGCTGGCCTTTTTGTCATGACTGTTTATTGGTCTCCTTTGTCCTCTTCAGATCTGTTCAGCCTGCATCCGCTGCAAAAGTTGTGGAACTGCTCCCGGGAAAAACTGGGACACCGAGTGGTCGAGCGACTACAGCTTATGTTCTGCCTGCTCTGTGCTGTATGATAAAGGTGTGTGTGAGGGGGGGAGTGGCACCCTCAGAAACATGTGGCAGGTTTCAGTTTGAGCTTCAGAGGTAGAGTGTTGAGCTTCAGGTCGGAGAAGGGGCCTTTGGAGCAGGGAAATGGTGGAGAGGAGCCAACACGGAGGAAATGTGCTTTCATCCTGTGTCAGTCAGGGTTGTCCATTATAGCCAATGGTGAGTCGTGCCGGAGGTTGCCATCCCCCTGATTTATGGAGGGCCATAAATGCTCTTACATGCAGACCCAGAGCTTGTATTTCAATGGTCTTAGCTTACTAGGCCAATATTAATAATCTGGCTTATTCGATAGCTGATGGTGATCCTATTTCTCCAGTTTGGACAGAGCTGAGGCAAAGATGCCAATAGAAGGTGTTTTATTTTCTGGAACTTCCTGTAAAAACTTTGCACTTGTTTTACATTGAATCGATTGAGGTAAATATTGCTGTTTTACTTGATAGGCTCTCCAGTCATTCTCTTTTACTTGTTGCTGGTACTGTATTTTTGTGTTTTTCTTCTCTGAGTATTGTTGCTACAGTGACTTAAACAGCAGAGAATGAATGTACAACATTTTTGAGGGAGGGGAGGGGAGGACGAGGGGCATGAAGTTTAAAGTGGCCTCCAGGCAAAGGAGTTCCATCGGTTTGCCCTCTCTTTTTCCTCGTCTAGGTAACTACTGTCCAATTTGCTTGCACTGCTATGAGGACAATGACTATGAGAGCAAGATGATGCAGTGTGCCAAGTGTGACCACTGGGTTCATGCCAAGTGTGAGGGGCTTTCAGGTGGGTCTGTGCATGTATCAAGGATGGTCTTGATAAGCTGTGCCACAATCACTTGGATTCTGAGGTCCTCATCTGATGTTCCTTGGAAGCTAGCTGCACATTGCACACTTATTTCCCTCCACATATAAACAGACACACCTACATACATGGGCACATATGTATGTATATACATGGGTATACAACTAAAGGAGCATGTACAAACGAATGCCGATTCACAACCGTGGGACACTCTCCCCGTACACTTCAGTGTGCAATTAGAAGGCTTAACGTTTCTTTCTTACCAATGGAGATCTCATTTTGCAGGGTGTTGGGGTGGAAGTGAGAACCTCTCCCAGCTACCGAGTTTGCATAGACATAAATCTCCAGCTATTGACCTCATTGATGGTTGACTACTACTTAGTGACGGTTGACAGTCTCAGAAACCAGGAGCAGTGTTGTTTCCGCCACCACCACCTAGATAATAGTGGGTTCCCAAAGGCGCCAGAGCCTCACAAGGAATGGTGAAGAGCTGTATGCAGCCAAGGTGCTGCCACTGGTGTTGCATTACAAATTTCTACCCACTCCCCACCCCAACTCTGGATAAATTGCCTATATCTTAGGTAGGGAAGATAGTGGGGAGTGGATGAATTGTGGCAGGGCTATGAAAACACCCAGTTTTACAGAGGCGGAGCAATTACGCTTTTGCTCAGGTGGTGGTATTTTGTGCTATTTCCCCCTTTTTGATCTTCTGACTGGCTGGATAGCTCAGTGGTTTAAGTGTCTGGCTGTGGAGGTTGGGAGTTTGATTCCCCCACTATGCCTCCTTCAGGTACAGCCAGCCAGGGTGGCCTTGGGCAAGTTGCGCAGTCTCAGGGTGCCCCCAGAAGAAGAGAAGGGTAAACCACCTCTGAGTACTCTGTATCAGAAAACCCTGAAAAAAGTCAGAATTGACTTCACAGCACATGCTGATGATGATTGATTGATTTGCTCTTCTGGCCAGGGTTTGGAATTTGCAATGAAAGCCCACCTTGCTTCTTACAAGCATGGAAGGCAGAGATCTGAGACCTGCTGGATAGCTCAGTGGTTTTTAAGTTTCTGGCTGCGAAGCCAGAGGCTGGGAGTTTGATTCCCCCATGGGGCCTCCTTGAGAGGGGCTGGACCCAAGGATCCCTAGGGTCACTTCCAGCTCTCCAGTTCAGAGGTGGTGGTGGTGGTGGTGGTGGTGGTGGTTGTTGTTGTTGTTGTTCTAATAAAAGAGGAACAGCCTTTGGGCTCCGACTGTGTCTGACATTCTTCACTGTCTCCTCTAGACGAGGGCTACGAGATCTTGTCCAACTTGCCTGAGAGTGTTGTCTATACTTGCCGGCCCTGCTGTGGCACCGACAAGGCCAAGTGGCGAGAAGTCCTCGGCTCCGAGCTGCGCAAGGGGCTGCGACAAGTGCTTCAAGGGCTGCTGAGCACCAAGTGTGCTGCCCCGCTGCTCCAGTGCACACAGGTAGGGTCCCCAGAGTCACCTGTAGGACCAAATGGTCTCGCACAGATCGGGAAAAGGCTTCAAAGAATAATTCATCTCCCAAAATCTCCAGGCCGGAATGACTAGCGATTATGCTGGCTGGGAGATTGTAAATTTTATGAGCTTTGTACCTCCCCCCCACACACACACACACATATAAATCGCATTGTCTTACTAGAAGAATGATATTTTCCAGTTGCTGCTGCTGTTAAACCAATCCTTAGATCAGGTTAAAATAATTCATAATCTATGAAGAAGGGGAAAAAGCTCAAACCTGAAAGCCAGTCTTAGCTGCCTAGAGGAGAGAGGCAAAGAGTACTTGTTAAATTCTTTGTTCTCAAGTTGTGTAGATTACCTCAACATGATGGGCCCTCTTGATAAGGAATGTTCAAGCCCCATGCTGGCTTACCAGTTTGGTGTTGTTGGAGGGGGAGGAGAAGCACTGAGAGGTTCCTTGCACTCTGAATTACATGAGAAACCCCGTCTATCACCTGAATATGGTCCTTCCTGCAACTTTTTGAGAACAGCTTTTCTGTTTAAGAAACAAAGCCCACACACACACATACACCAATACCTAAGAAAAAAAGAAACAAAATATCCCCCTCTAGTGGTCGAAGGCAGAATAGCAGCTTCCCATTAGTTTCTATGGACGGAAAAGAGCAGATACGGATCAAATGGTTTTCAATGCATTCCTATGGGAAATGCAGATTTGACTTGAGAACTTTTTGACTTGAGAACCACCTTCCAATACGGATTAAGTTCTCAAGTCAAGACCCCACTGTACTTGTTAAATTCTTTGTTCTCAGGTTGTGTAGATTACCTCAACATGATGGGCCCTCTTGATAAGGAATGTTCAAGCCCCATGCTGGCTTACCAGTTTGGTGTTGTTGGAGGGGGAGGAGCACTGAGAGGTTCCTTGCACTCTGAATTACATGAGAAACCCCGTCTATCACCTGAATATGGTCCTTCCTGCAACTTTTTGAGAACAGCTTTTCTGTTTAAGAAACAAAGCCCACACACACACATAAACCAATAACAGAATGATTAGGTGACTTTAAAAAAATCCTCCTCTGAGTCTTCTCTTTGTTAAAAGTCCGTGAAAACTAGTTTGTGGTAACTGTGCTAAAGAGTTCCTTACAAAGTTCTTCAGTTGTGCAAAAGAAAAAAAAGCACCCCGAAAAAACCCACACATCAAAAACAAACCCCAAATGATTATCTCTTAGTAAAAGTTCCACAAAATACCTTGCTTTTTTCCAAAGCGAGATGAGTAGTTTCATGATTCTCCTTCTTTGCATGTGAGAATGAGACGAGGGACAACCTGTATCTCTACCCTGGAAAGGGCGTCCCTTGGACTTAGTCTTATTCTGTGTTGTAACCAGTCTAGTGTTTTTTGATGGTGGGCCGTATAACAAGTCCTCTAGATGGAATTCAGGCTAGAGTGGATTGCAGGCCTCCTTTTTTCCTCACCTTCTTTTGCTCTGATCCCCAGTGTTGTCCGGACGATGGTGTGAAAGTTCACCTGCGGCCCTGTGATTTGCGCACCATCCACAAGCTTTCCGAACAGGGTCACTACTCAACCGTGGTGAGTGTTGGAGAGCAGGGTTTCCGGGCTGGAGCTGGTGAAGGGGAGCGAGACCTCTGACTTCTGCTGAGCTCTTTTCTCTCTCCACAGCACAGCTTCAATGAGGACATGGTAGGGGTCCTGTCGGGGCAGACAGAGGATCAGCAGGCCAGCCTGGCTGCAAAGGCACTCTACATCGAGGTACCTTGGTGGTGGCCTGGGTGGTGGGAGCAGGACAGGACCTTGGTTTGCAAAGGGGCTCAGAACCAACTAGAGTGGGAAAGACAAGTAGAGTCAGGGGAGTGGCTTTTCAGATGTGCCCATGTTCTGTAGCCTGGATTACCGCCTACCATGCCTAGGAATCTGGTGACTTCCTCTTCACCCCTCCCTTCTTCTTCTTCTTTTTTTATTTTCAGCTGATGGGAAAGTTCTTTTGCTGGTTTGATGTTCAGGATGCAAAGCACTGGAACCGCAGCAGCACCCTCCCCAAGTGAGTATGCAGAGGCTGGCAACCGTGATGGCGACACTACGACCCGAAGCACTCTGGAGCCAACATTGCTTATCAGATCGGTGCTGTTGGATTGGATGTGGGTGGATTAGTGAGCCCATGGCGGAGGTGTAGGCACGACCTGCTGTCTGTCCTATGGATTTTGTGTTCTGTGGTTGGTTACAACCTCTATTCTCTTTCTGTTGTTTTGAGCTGTTCCTATATCTGTGCCCCCCCCGAACCTGGACCCTGACAATGAAAAGTTTGGGGCAGGTGATAGCCAGGTTTTGGTGTTTTAAATCGTGCTTTATCTTCAGTGCAAAGTCTTGTGATTTTTCTTCCCTTCTGATCATGTTTTTTCCCCTCTCTTTCCCCCCTCTCTCACTGACAGTGGCATGCTTCCCAATGCTGTCCTGCCTCCTTCCTCCGACCACATCTATGCTCAGTGGAGGCAGCCTGAAGACGTCAGCCCAGCTTCCAACAGTCACCCGACTTCTACTGGTCCTGAAAAGATGGGTAAGACTGTTTTGTAAAAATAAAATAAACTAAAAAAATGTAAAAGCATCCGAGGCAGGACCTGTACTGAAGCAGATTTCCCTTGGCTCTCTGGTCCTCCAGGAAAGCTTTGGCCATTGGATTTCTGCCTGGTGTTGACCTTTTACAGAGGAAGTACTATATGGTGGTGGCAGACAACTCTGGGCTGCCCCCTGTTTCTCAAGTTTCCTCTGTGAAAGCTTCCTCGTTCTTTTTTGGAAGTTATTCTGGCCAAGGGAGACGGATATGTTTGCTTGCTCTCTGGTGAGTGAAATGCAATACCTGAATCTCTTTCCTTCTCCCCCAAATAGCTGGGAAAGAGGCTGAGCACGCCGTGGTGCAGGAGCCTCTGGCTGACCCCGAGGACAAGAGGCAGTGTGCCCTGTGTCTCCAGTATGGCGATGCTCCCTCCAAGGTAAGAATCGACCTTCTTGCTCCAAGAAGACTGTTAGAGCCATGCTGGATCCAGATGCAGAAATGTCTCTAATCCAGCGAGCTGTTGCTCACAGTAGGCAACCAGATGCCTTTCAGGGAACCCCTCAAACAGAGCATGAACACGGTTGCCCTTGCCTGCTGTTGTTTATGGGTTTCAGAGCTGAGCGTGCAAAATTACATTTTATTTTTATATTTTTGCTATAATTCCATGAATCTCCCACCAACTGTGGAGTTTTAGAGTTGCAGTCCATATTGCACAGCCAGTGGTGCAAGTGTGGAAAGGGACCATCCACTGGATATTGGCATTCCCCTTTCCGTACTTGAAGCTAACGTCATTATGTCTAGAAGAAGGAAGTAGGCATGGGGAGAGACTTGGTGCTATCTGGTCTCTGGCTGTGTTCTTGGCTATGAGGAGGCTAGCTTTCGACTGGGGAATTGAACCAGGCCCGGCCAGGAGATCCAGCCTCTTAATCTTTTTCTTGTCTCAGGAGCTTCCCTATTTGTTTGTTTGTTCGCCTGCCCTGCAGATCCCTTCCTGACCAGGTCAGTTGGCCTTCTCCTACTCCTTAACACAGCCCGTTTCCCTTCCCTCTAGGATGCAGGGAGGTTGCTCTACATTGGCCAAAACGAGTGGACTCACGTCAATTGTGCCATCTGGTCAGCCGAGGTCTTTGAGGAGAATGATGGCTCCCTAAAGAACGTGCATGCCGCTGTAGCCCGGGGTCGGCAGATGGTAAGGAAGGGCCTCTCTCTGCCTGCAGCTCTGCAAAGGACACTGAAAGGCAGCCCGGACGGCTGTGTTGAGAAGCGCCTTTCCAGTAAAAACAACACAGGGGGCAGGGCTGCAGACAAGCATGGCGTGTCTTTCCTTCCCTTTCAGCGCTGTGAACACTGTCAGCGGACAGGGGCCACGGTGGGCTGTTGCCTCTCTGCCTGTCTCAGCAACTACCACTTCATGTGTGCCCGCCTGAGGCACTGCACCTTCCAGGATGACAAGAAAGTCTTCTGCCAGAAACACGTTGATCTCCTAGATGGGACAGTAAGTGCTGGGGAAGTGCTTCGTTGGGGAAGGATGGTGGGTTTTCTTTTGTCTCCTGGGCCGAGTGGATCACGGCTGGGAGGGTTTGTTAGATCTGGCGTCCTGCAACCTGGAGCTGTGATCTCCCTCCTTGAAATTTTGATGTGCAATCAGGTTTTGTGACAATTTGCTTCTAAATTTATTAAAAATGAACACGGTTGACCTTGTCTGCTGTTGTTTATGGGTTTCAGAGCTGAGCGTGCAAAATTAAATTGTTTCCTATGAACTTGGTCAAGGTGATTTCTTACCTGTGTTATTTGCCCTTTAGGAAATAGTGGCTGAAGACGGGTTTGATGTCCTGCGCCGTGTCTACGTCGACTTCGAGGGAATCAGCTTTAAAAGGAAATTTATGGTGGGCCTGGAGCCGGACACCATCAACATGATGATAGGTAATTTCTGGGCAGGGTAATTCTCATGGTGGCTGGGAAAGCAGATGGGAAGAGTTACTGTGGTGAAGCACCAAGATGAGTTGACAGCAGAGATCACCTTGTGTGGGGCTGCTCAGAGCAAAGCATTGGACATGCCTGGGTGGCAGCAGATGCCCCGTAGATCTGTGGTGCCATTGCAGGTGGCCCTTTGAGCTCTCGATGGGTGGGCCCAGTGGCTCATAGGAGGGCTTGCCCTCATTGTGGCTCATTGCTGCATGTGTTCTGCATGCAAAAAAGTCAGAGGTTCAGGCCCCAGCATTTCCGGGTAGGGCTGGAAAACATGTCCTGCTGAAACCTTGCCAGTCAGTGCAGATTAGGTGTGGGCAATCTCCAGAGGTCCCTGAGCCACGTATTCCCATCCCCTGACCTTGGAGGACCACATCCCTCATTCTGACCCCAGGCGAACTTTTTTTCTTACAAAAATATGACAGCTTTTAGCAAAAATATCCCTTTGCACCTTCTAATGACAAATATTTTACTATATTTTTCTGTGTATAAGACGTCCCCATGTATAAGACCCCCCTTTTCTAACCCCAAATTAAGAAATCTAAGTGGGGCTTAGCAAATGTAGGGTGAAAAGGATCAAAGTGCTGCAGGATGGCTTTGATCCCTGCTTTCTCCCTTTGTGCTAAGCCCCGCGTGGCTTAGCAAAAGGAGGGGGAAAGGGAACAAACCAATCTCACGACTGCACAATCATTTTGATCCCTTTCCCCCTTATACAGCCATGGGATTGCTTTGATTCTTCCCCCCTCCCTTTGCTAAACCCCATGGGACTTGGCAAGCAGAGGGGAAAGCAGGGATAAAGGAATCCTGCAGCACGTTGATCCCTGCTTTCCTTTTGCTAAGGCTTAGCAAGTGGAGGGGAAAGCAAGGTTCAAAGCCCTGCAGGATCACTTTGATCTCTGCTTTCCCCTCCACTTGTTTGTTCTCCTCAGCTTACTTCTGTGTATAAGACGACCCTCAATTTTTAGTCTAAAGATTTTAGACAATAGTATAGTCTTATACACTGAAAAATATGGTAATTTAAAAAAGTTTGGAAGTGTGGCAGAATCCTAAAAATAAGACACAAGAAATAGTTTTAAAATTGGAGGGGGGGCTGGAATACCCCAGAATTGGCGGGTGGCACATTTGGGGTCCTTGTGGTTGCATGCCACCCACAGGTTGCATGTTGATCACTTCAGTGTAGATAATAGTGAGTTAGGTAGACTAACAGTCTGACTTTCTAGATGACAGCTTCTTATGTTCTTTTTACAGGAAAGACTGTAGCTCAGTGGTAGAGCACCCGATTTGCATGCAGAAAGTCCCAAGTTCAGCCCCCAGCGTCTCCAGGTAGGGCTGGGAATGTCCCCTGCCTGAGACCCTGGAGAGCTGTTGCCACTCAGTAGAGACACACTATACAGTACAGCTAGACGCACAAGGGATCTGGTCTCCTACAGGCAGCTTCATCGTGTTTACATCTGTTCTGTATCAGCTACCACAAGGGCTAGAGAAGCAGTTTTGACAACCTGGTTCAGAAAATCCAAGTCGTTATCAGTTTCCACTCCATGTTCACATGACTTTGGAGCTTGTGTTCTCCACATTTTGGACTACAACTCCCATAATTCCTGGCCATTAGTCATGCTGTCTTGGGCTCATGGCAGCTATAATTCCAACATTTCTAGAGGGCACCAAGTTGCTTATCTTTGCACTAATGACCAAGAGGACCACCATCCATTGGAACATTTTCCCAGACCTCACAAAGCAGAACACTCTGGTTTACACCCAGTAAATCGGACATATTCATTCCCGGTTTATAGATTTTAATGTTTTTTTGAAATTCCTGTTTGGTTTAACAATGTTTCGAGCCACCTTGGATCCCCTCCTCGGAGGAAAGGCAATAGGAAAATGCAATAAATATAATTAAACAAATGCATTTCTCTGCTTATCTGCCATCCCAGATCCACTGCCTGTTGCAGCAGTTTTTCCTTTTGCCTCAATGTTGGCCCTTTTGTGGCTCACAGATACCTCTGTGTTCACTCCATTTCCATCTGTTTCCAGGCTCTATGAAGATCGACAGTTTGGGCATGTTGACAGACTTGTCCGAGTGCGAGGGACGCCTTTTTCCTGTAGGCTACCAGTAAGTACCCACTTCTGGTATACCATGCAGGTGAAATAATATTCTGCCATCTGAGGCAACTCTCTATCCATCTGATATAGTGGGTTGCGGGCCACAAAAATTTGTGCAAAGAAAATTTGTTACTTTTTAACATGCTGCAGGTCTCCTCTTTGGTTTTATGGCAAAAGACTGTCACACAATCTGCTTCCCTCTGGGTATTTGTGTAGTGAAAGTAATGTCGGTGAAAAAAGCTGGAAGGGGCATTTTTAAAAGGTCACTTAGTCGACGCCCTTTCACTCTGCTGGTTAAGTAGAATCTCCCAAACACTGGAGCATGAAGTCAGCATGGATTAGCTTCCCTTTTGGGTCATCCTCATGGACCCTTGGCCAACCTTTCCCTTAGAGCACTTTCAATGATAAACTGATTCTAATCTGCTATGGTGATCCTGAATATAAAGACAGGAAACACAGTAGCTATTCCAAACAGATTAATGCCACATTGCAGAGCATTTGTGCACATGTAGTCTGTGGGAGAGAATTTTATGTCCCCTCTCCATCCATTCATCTCTTATTTTTTACTCATGTTTTGTTTTTAAATACATTAGTAGCTCTTTATTTTGGGAAAAACAAGACTCCCCAGGTCTCAGTTTTCCTCATTTGATACATTAAAAAAAAAACAAGTACTTACAAACTCATTGCATCTACAAATTTCAAATTGACATTGAGAACAGTGGTAAAACATGCGAACAATCGATGTAAAATATTTATATTATCCAAATAAATACAGTACATAGTACACTGAAGAAACCTAGAAAGCTTGCAAAAAAAAAAAGATACGTCTTCAGTATGCCTATAAAATTAACAATGGTTGGAGTGTGTCTAATATCAAGAAGAAAAGCTTGATATAGAATAGTATGAGTTAGGATGTATTGGAAGACTGATTTTTTTTTCGCACTGTGGTCAACCATTGATTACATGCTAGCCACTTACGACTTGATATCATCTGTAACTGCGTATGGAAGCCATAGCTAACAAGATGTATCCATTATAGATTTCCACCCAGTAAACATCTGCAGCAAAGGTAGGGAAACCCTGTGACCCTTTTGATGCTCTTCAACTACAGTTCCTCTCATCCTTGACCATTGGCTGTAGTGGCTGAGGCTGATGGAGACAGCCGTGGGCTTAACATGTCTAAGAAGCTAGCATGTTTCTTAATCATCCTCCATGCAGTGGGATAGGCCCTGGCTTCATGACCTGTCATGCACATCTGTTGAAAAGTTCCGAAATGTTCTGAACAAGGACACAGATCCGAAAAATACCTGTCTCTGGGCGCAATTACACTAACAATAAGGACTGCTTTTGAATCAGGTTTAGCAGGTTTCAAATTGATTTTTAAAATGTGACTATGTGACGCACACAGAAGCACAAATTTCTTTGTCCAGGAACTGTGTTTTTTTCTTTTTTCAGAAGCAAGGTATTTTGCTGGGCCATCAGAGAGTTGCATATTTTAACATGGATGTAAAATAAATTTATTTTTCATCAGTTTGACATAAGTGAATGCCACTGTTAGTATAAATTGTATCTGTTGCCTTGCACTGGCTGCCCCCCACAGCCACTCATTGCTTCTGCTGTGGGGTTGGTTTTAATTTTTTTTCCAAGTGGCATAGCGACAGTCTGACATGACCGTGGAAATTTATTAACTAGCAGAGAGAGAAAGAGGGAAAGTCCTCCCTTCTTCCCAAGCACAGAAGCTGCCAATATTGTAAATGTCTCTAGCCAGTTTCATTTTGAGATGGAGGAAGGAGTGCTTTCTCTCTCTCTTTCTCTGCTGGCTCTTAAATTTTCACTGTCATGTCAGACTGTCACTAAGCCACTTGTAAAGAAATAGAAAAAATATTTAAAACAACCCTCAGCAGTAATAGCAAGTGACTGTGGAAGTCAGTGAGTATGAGGGTGGGTGGGTGCAGGATAAAGCCTCAATTGCAGCAATTCTAAACAGGTTACAGTGTTGAAAACATGATCAGCAAACATGCTGATTAATGAAATGATTTAAAATCTCATGTGAAGTTTCCCAAAACAGTTTTAAATCTCTACTTTATATTAGCATAATAATTTTCAAAGTGAACACACAACAATACAAAAACCACATGACTGTAAATTGATTTAAAATACACAGGAGCTGAAACCAATATGAATCAGCAGTGTAACCATGCCTTATCTCCCCCTCTCAAAAATCTTCTTTTAAGCACTTAGCATGACATCTTGTCTACCAAGAATCAGACACATCTCTTCAATTTTGCTGAATGTTGCCAGACTTCAGAGGAGTCTCTTCTTTATGTAGATCTTTATGAGAGTCTATAGTGTCCCTAGGGGAAGTTATTTTTCAGCAGATGGTACCCATGTGTCTTTGAACTTTGGGGCATGTCTCTACCCAAGCCAAAATGTCTATAAACAGTCCTGTGCAAAAGGTATTTATAGGAATATTGCACCAGCACCTGCTGTACACTCATACAGTGGTGCGATAAAGGAAGATAATTGCGCTCTATCTGATCTCTAAAAATGCTTTTCCTGAATAGCCATACTGTCTGGGGAAAGTGGGAATTATAGTCCAGCATATTCAGAGGGCACCAGTTTGAGGAACACTGATCTAATTATCCAATTGCCTTAGGGATGGTGATGCTTTCTCCCTGTGAGATAGTGCTTTAGTGCTATGTGGCAATATACAATATGTGGGCAATATATGGGCACAAGCTACCTCGAAGACCGTGTTTCCCATTATAAACCTGATTGGGTACTATGATCATCGGGGGAGGCCTTTCTCTTGGTCCCAACACCTTCACAGGTGGGGACACAAGAGAGGGCCTTCTCTGTTACTGCTCCCAGACTTTGGAACTCCCTCCCACAGGATGCCAGCCTGGTCCCATTTTTGCTGTCCTTTCTCAGGCAAATGAAGACATTTCTCCTCAGGCAAGCTTTCCCTCAATGAATGGCTACCTGAGCATCATCCTTTTGGATGGATTGTTATGCATCACTGCTTTGACTTTGTTTTTAGTGTTGCTTGTGTTTCCCATTTCTGTTTGTTCGTTTTTAACTATTTCTATACTTTGTGCTTTTAGCTTCAAATATTGCCTTTTAATGACGTGCACCACCTTTGTACACTCAAGAGTTTTGTTCTTAAATATTGTCTTTAAACGCGGTAAGCTACCTTGGGGTCCTTTTCTAAGGACAAAGGCAGGGTAAAGATATTTTAAATAAGTATATAATAAAAATATAAGTGGCACACTTCATTTTGCTATGTCAGATTGGGAAAAGTGAATGGCTCTAGGCAAAAGGCCGCTCTGGCAAGCCAGTGTTGTCTTCCTTCCCTGCCCCCAGGTGTTCCCGGATGTACTGGAGCACAATGGATGCCCGCAGGCGGTGCTGGTATAAATGCCGCGTCCTGGAGTATCGGCCAAAACTGAGCCAAGAGGAGCCGGATGCGTCAGGAGTCCAGGAGGAGAACCACACCATTGTTCACAGCCCCGCGGCCCCTGCCGGTGAGACTGGCTGAGCCCTTTGGCGAGGCCTGGTGGAGGGGAAGGGTTCCTTCTTCCCGGAGGGTGTGGAAAGCCCGGAGGGGGGGAAGGGATTAACTGGAGCCAGCTGGCAGTCTGCCAAGGCCATCAAAGCCTTGGGTCAGTTGTGCTCATGTCCTCCTTCCTGATCAGTAGTTTACCTCCTCCCCCGCTTTCTTACTCGGGTTCAAGGCACCAGGATACCCATTAAGAAATTACTATTCAGTATGGTCATCACATGTGAAAGAGCCTGCATGCCAGACTCCTAGATAGCCCCGCTCTAGCTCGACAGTGTTTTTGGTCCGCCTTAAGGTAGCTTCTTTTGCTCCACGATTCCTTTACTTGGTACAAAGTCCACCATGAGAGCCACAGGTCTTGGAGGGAGGGGGGGCTGTCGTTGCCTTGCCGTGTCTCTGAAACAGAAAGTCCTGTTTTCCAGATCCTAACACAGGAGAAAAGCCCTTACGGGAAGCGCCCCCTCCCATGCCACCCCCAGAGCGGCATTCTCCTGCGCAGAACCCGGGCCCTCTGCCGCCTCCAGAGTCGGCTGCTTCCAAGCCCAAACCTCTCACTGGCGCTCGCATCAAAGTGCCCAACTACTCCCCTACTCGGCGGCCCCTAAGCGGGGTGTCGTCCCGGCCACTGCCTTCTCCCGGTGAGTGCTTGTCAGTGTGTTTGTGTGTGTGTGATAGATTGCGTAGGTGGGTGGGGAGAGACAACGTGAGAAGGTGTGTGTGTGTGTGTGTGTGTGATAGATTGCATAGGTGGCTGGGGAGAGACAACGTGAGAAACAAGGTAAGGGGGAGACTTCCGCCTCGGAGACAAAACCGCTCCTTCTCACTTCCCAGCGCAGCCCTCTTGGGTTCCCCAGATAGTCACACCTTCCCCTCCCCCCCAACACTGCGTCTGGTGGGTTTCCCCGTTTCTGTATGTAAGCCACCACTGAAGTGCCACTCCTGGCAGCAAAAGCTTCAGGACAATATGTTGGCATTTGAGCATCCTCATTTCAGCGTTGGTCTCGACCACTAGGTGAACGCAACCCTCTAAGAATTTATCTGAAGTGGGATTTGACCCTTGACGTAAGAAGGGGAGGACAAACGAGGGTCCCCAGAGCAGGTTTTGTGCCTTCTGGTCCCTTCCGGTCACTGCAGTTCCTGGAAGGCTTCAGGAGTTGGGGTTCCCTTTTCCAATAGGGTGTAGGGCTGCCCCACTTCATTTAAGGACAACCCCGCAAGACCAAACTCTGTCTGTCAAAAGTACCAAAAAGGGGGGGGGCTCCTGAGGTTTTCCTCCCTCCTCCTTTTTTGAGGGAACTTCTCACAGTCCTTGTGGCCCTCGGAGGATTTCAGAGGCAAAAGACTGCCCCCCCCCGTATGCATCAGAGCTGTCTATGCCCCTATTGGATGTGTGTGTGTGTGTGTTTATGCTTCCATAACATTTAATTTATATGCCGCCCACACTACCCAAAGGTCTCTGGGCGGCTTCCATAACGATATTCTTCCATAATGAAGATTCCTGGATTAAAAGGACCACATGCAATGAACTGCTTTCTGCCGGCCTCCTTAACATGGTGCTTTTCTCCCTTCTCTCGCCTGCAGGAAGTGCGTCATCCATGTCTCATCACATCTTGACTGTAGGCGACCCAGACTTCCCTCCTCCGCGTCGTCCTCAGCGCCTCAGCCCCTTGTCCCCGAGTAGTGGCCTCCGGACCCACCCGAGGTCGTCCCTCCCGCCCCAGCCCCCTGCTCATAGGACTAGTCCTCCCGGCACCTCTCTCAGGGCAATGGCTCCTCTCCTGGACGGCGCTCCGGCAGAGACGGGCTTCAGGCAAACATCTACCTCTGATGGGCAGCTGCCCTTACCTACCTCACCCCCTCCCTCACCCCCACTGGTGCCGCCAGAGCTGGCTTTCGAGCTCAACGTCTCCGACCTGGAATTCGACGACAGCCTCCTGGATGAGCCTTTTCAGGAGGAGGAGGAGGAGGAGGAGCTGGGAGCGCCCCAGACGTGCCCCACTCCGCCCGGCCTGAGCCTACCCCAGCTGGATGGGCTGGGGGATGGCGAGAGCGAGGAGGAAGGAGAGGCTGGCCGCTACTTCCGTTTCCCCCGCACAGTGGTAACCCGCGAGCCCCCCCTGCCCCCCTACCCCCTGGATCTCCCCTTGCCTCACATTAACCAGCTGGATGGCATCGATGATGGCACGGATAGCGAAGCGGATGCAGCCGGGGGGCACCCGCCTGCCAAGGGCAAGCAGGCGGAGCCGAGGGAGGAGCGGGAGCTGGCTGGGCCTGCTCCCGCTCCGGAGGACTTGCCTTCTGACATTGTGGACTTTGTGCTGAAGAACATGGATGCCCCCGAGGCCAAGGCCAGCTTGCTCCCTTCTTGCCTCAACCCTCTGGCCTTGCCGCTAGCGCCCCCTACCTCTGCCAGCCTCAATGGCACCGAACCAGCCCAGCCCAGCCCTGCTCCGGATCTGGCCCCGACCCTCACCCTCAGTTGCGCACAAGTGCCCGGCAGCCCTGAAGTCAAGGTGCTGGGGCCGGAGGAGCAGAAGGCTGGCTCTAGAATTATTCTTGTGAACAAGCTGGGGCAGGTGTGTGTGAAAGTACAAGGCGAGGAAGGCGCCTTGAACGCTCAAGATGGGGAGCAGGCCTCCAGCTGTAAGGACAAATTGAACCCAGCCCCACCCCCAGCCCCGGCCCCCAGCCTCAGCACCGTCATTTTACGGGCACCGCTGGGCCTTACGCCAAGCGCGTTGCCCACATGGACAATCCGAGCTCCGGTGCTCAGCATGGTGCCCATGATGAACGTTGTGGGCACCACACCTCAAGCTGTTGGCAGTGGCCAGTTGGCCTTGGGCACCCCGGCTCTGGTGACGCCCTCCTTGGGACTCCCGCAGACCTGCCTCCTGCAGCCTGTGGCTGTGAATTCTGGCGTGCTGAGCATCCCCAGCCTGGTGTCCCTGCCTGGCCCCCGGCCAGCCATCCGTGTCAAGAGGGTCTCCACCTTCGTGGGAAACGTGCCTGTCAAAAGGATGAAGCTGGATGGGACCAAGGAAGAGCAGCCATTGGCCGTATCGCCCACGGTGATGCTGGATCACCTGACTAATAACTGCATCTCTGGCAGCACTGCGGGCTCTGGGTAAGTACAAGCGTCACTGATTCCCCTCATTCCCGGTTACCTGTACAAAACGTTGAAAAATTGCCTTTTCAACTAAAGCTCATAGAATGCCTCAGCCAGTTTGACAGTGGCCAGCATGAGACCATCTGTTACCAGACATCTTCAGTATATACTTGGGGATACTTTGAGCTCTTTACTTTACTTTATTGGTTGATTGCTTAAAACCATAGGTCATCGCAATATATCAATGACAGCATCAAACATATGTGGCCCTGTCATATCACAATTATACTTAAAAAGAAAGATCTAGGATTTTGGATACCTTGAGCTCTGTATTTTCTCCATTGATCTGTGCCTTACAAGACCTCTTTTGTTATTCTGTGGATAAAAACTTGGGCCTGGAAATTTTTTTACTGGCAATGATCTTGCTGGTAATTTGCAGGTCTTGGTAATCTAGGCCTGATGCTTTGGAGCTTCCCCTCTTGTGTTAATCTTCCCTAAAGGTCTAATTTGTGGGGTGGGCAAAAGGCAGCCTGTAGCATTCTGGTTTCCAGTGTGGCTTCCCAGTAGCCCACACCCTCTAATCTGCCCCCCAACCCTGTATTCCCACATTTTGATTTTTTAAAAATCTTTGCAACCTCTAGGGCTCCAGGGGCGATTCTGGGGTGTCTGTAGGGCTGTCAGGAGAACAATAGGAGGGCTGGTGTGGCCCTTTAAGGTCTGAGGAAGGCACATGTTTTTGGAAGTTGCCCATCCCTGCTCTAGAAGGTGAGTGTTTGGCCCAGTTTGTGACGATCACCTGAGTTGGCCAGTCACACCATTGCCCAGCCGTGGTGATCGAGCCCTGGAGATTTGTTCAGTCTCACTACAAGCATTTAAAGAGGGATGCTTTCCCTCACAGTCAAACATCCCTGCCATGTTCTCCATATGGCATTCACCAAAAAACACCTTTAATCCAAATGTTAACCCACTTTTAATCGTCCAGTAGAAATAAATGGCACCCTATAGAATCCTTGCTTCTTGTTTTTCAGATTTCACTCTATTGAATGTTTGAATTGTGCCAAGTAAGTCTTGGCGTATTTTAGGATGTGGGTTTTGTGATTAGACTTGGACGACTGCTGTCAGTGCTGCTTGTATGGCAGAGATTAGGGAGTACCAGAAACTAGGCAGGGCTTCTTATTGGTCCAGCCACAGAGCTTGATTCATATTCTTTCGGGAGAAGTACCGTAACAGCTCTTCTCTAGGTATTTATTTTAATTCCCGTCACCGACAGCTGGCTTGCTCAGGAAGATCAGACATTTTTCTCTCGTTACAGTAGTGGGAAGTCTATCAGAGTGAATGCCCTGTCCATCATGCTCCGCAGGCCTGAGAGTATCATCCAACCGGCACCTGGCTCATTGCTTTGTCCGGGCACCCAACATCACTACTCCCACTTGTAATGGAGAGGAAAGAGGCAGCATTTGCACCTTTTACCCAAACCTATCCCAGTTTGAGAGCTGATTTTTTATGATGTGTGCCTTCCGTTGGGAGGCTGACTGGTACACTAAGCAATCCTCGCTCTTACCATTGGTCACAGTTTGGAGATATCGGGGCTTTCTCTCCATGCCCCCATCCCCTGTGAGAAGTGGGGCTTGGGGAGGAGGGAAATCCTGGAAGAGGGAGTAAATCACCAACCTCAGGGACAAGCCAGATTCCAACCTTTTTGCAAACTGGATCAGGGCTGTGGGTCAGAGATCTCCACTCCATATGTTAGCATTCACTGGCAGTTGACATTTCCAAAAGCTTCATGTACCCTGTCCGAAGTTTGCCGCATGTATTGAGCCCCTTGATAGGGTCAAGCCATTTCCTGCTAAAGTCTTCGCCTTCCTGCAGCTGTTTTCCTCTGCAGGGTCAGGGGGTCCATTAGGACTCCACACTTAGTCTTAAGGAATCTGATGGGCTCTGAAATGCTCTTGGAGAACTCTGTTTCAGTTGCTAAGAATGGCACTCCATGGTAGGTATAGTGGGGGGGGCGGAATTGGTGCAGTCATCTGTTAATGTAATAGTGACTTTCAGAGCCCAAGGCCCCTATCCTCACCTCACTATCAGGGGGAAGGAGTATTCACAAACTGGAAACACAGGAAGAGACCCTGATGCGGAGCTGAGGACAGGGGCCTCTGAAAGTCAGTATCCTGTTGTTGCCAGTATTGTGTACTGTTTGATATTTTCATCATATGAAATCATTTTAGAACTGATCCCAGTTAAAGGCAGCCTGTAAGTCAACCCTTCCCAAACCGGCTGCCCTTCAGTTGTGCTGGATTATAAATCTCATCATTCATAACCAGCTTGCAAGGGGAGGCAGGTTGTTTGCAGCCCAGCTCAGCTGGAGGATTGGGAAAGGCTGTGACGGATATGCTGAATGAGGTTTTACTTCTCTGTAGTATAGATGCACGGTTCTTTGACCCACTCACATCCAGTAGATGTTTGTAACTATGCCAAAGCCAGTCGATACTGAGAGCAGGTGGGGCAAAGGAGGAATGAGACACAAGCCCTCTTCCAAACGACCTTCAGCTCTGGGAATCAAAGGATGGTGCAAGATCGGCTTGGTTCCCCCTCTCTCAGGCGCCTTCCACCGTAGGGTGTGTGTGTGTGTGTCTGTGTGTGTCCTGCACATGTTAATGTGACCCTTTTGCTTGACAGAATTGGGCGGGTGCGGATGAAGACTCCCACGGCGAAGGGTGTTCTAGACCTGGATGTGCTGAAAGAGGAGGCAGGCAGTGTTGGCGAGAGTGAGCTGTGAGTGTGTCGGTTTTGGGTTGCAGGAGCCCAAATCTTCTGAGACTCTGTTATGCTTGAAAGGCCAGCCCTCCCAGGGATGGGAAATGTTTGCGCTTTGGACCTAGAAATTGTGATGTGTGAAGTTTCACACTGAAACTTGTTAGTTAGTTGCTTCTTGTCTTCTGGGACCCTTAACAATCTTTCTGTGCCTTTCCAGCTCTCCAATGGAGCACTCGCCTTCCTCAGTCACCATGCCCTCCTGTCCTGGAACTCCGGAACAGAACCAGGAGCCTGTTCTGGAACCCGTCTGGCATAGATATGCAGGTACTGGAATGTCTGCTGCCCCACTTCTTGCTGGAGATGGGGCAGTGAGGGTTCAACTGGGAGATGGTGGGCCAGCTCCTGGATCATAGAGCCAAGGATAAGTTTGCCGTATGAGCACATATGTGTGCATGTAAAATTGAGAGCCAGGTTTTGTGTCATGTGTATCATGTTGGGCCAGGAGTTGGAAAACTTGAATTTGAACCCCTACTTAGCCATGGTCTACCCTTCCATCCCAGTCTATTTGGCTAAAAATTAGCATTGTTAATTTATTTATTGATTTTATTTATAACGCGCATAGACCACCTGATTTAGTGACATCACTACTTGGGGCAGTTTACTACTATAAATTTACCATACAATCAAACATACGAAAAGGAATACATAGACCACCTGATTTAGTGACATCACTACTTGGGGCAGTTTACTACTATAAATTTACCATACAATCAAACAAACAAAAAGGAAATACACACACACACACACACACGAACACACGAACACATAACTCAGGGGACCTTCGTAAGTCGAGTGTCCACTGTAATCTGAGTTATGTGACTAGGGGTGTGTGTGTGTGTGTGTGTGTGTGTATAAATTTCAAGGTACAAAAAGCTCCGGCCACAAAATTTTAGTTGGACTTGCGGCCGGAGCTTCGACCTACGAAAGGCAGGGGGAAAGGGCGGGAAATTCAAAGCCACCCCTGCTGCCCCCTTGCCTTCTGTCCCCACGGAGCAGGAGGCAGAGGGCAGCAGGTGCAGCTTCGGAAGCCCGGGATTTTTTTTCTTTGGTTGGAACGGATTAAATGGTTTTCAATGCATTCCTATGGGAAATGGACCCTCGACCTATGGCCTTTTCAACCTGCAGCCACCGTTCCAATACGAATTAATTACGTAAGTCGAGGGTCCACTGTAACTCTTAAGAGACGATCAGCTAGCACCAGCAACAAACAGAACATCAAACAATTTAGAATAGATCAAAAAGAAATACATATAATCCAATATAGCAAATGAAACTAATAAAATTTCAGTCTGAAGAATGAACTAGAAGAATGTAATAAACCTATTAAAAGTTGAATGTAATAAACCTATTAAAAATAATTGATCTGGCTATTTTCAATTGTTTTTAAAGAACAGGCAGCCTCGAGCTGATTGAAAGAATGTCAGGATACAAATGTAAGAAAACAGGTGGGCTTGTTTTAAACAGGGTATAGAAAGATTATCTGTTCCATATCTTACTGGAAACTTGTGTTGGATTCAAAATATAGGCCCCTTTCATATGTGGTCAGGTACATATAGTTATGGAGCTGTAGTATGTACAACAGGGTAAGGAATAGTAAGTCAAACCAGGCCTGGGGAAGCATCCTCAGCTTGAAGACTCCGACCCATAGGAGCTCCCTGGCTTATAGAATAGAATAAGGTTCTTCCTACACCACTTTGCTCTTTAAGAGATAATTGAGTGTTCCCTTTCCTGCCTCAACAGGGCAATCCTCCACAGCCTACCTGTAACTGCATTATTGTCCCACTCATCCAAAGTCATTTCTCTTTTGATATCACTAGTAGATCAGTTGCTTTCTTCTCAAAGCAGTTCCGTGCTCACCTTCTGCCCCATTTCCACACACAAACTTAAGAAGGAAGGAAGGAAAGAAGGTGTCGAATTTTGGCACCCTAGACGACATGCTTGACAGGTTCGGGCTTTCTTTTCTGTTTGTCTCCCAGGCGATCTCTCCAGCTCAGATGAGGACAATCTGAATCAGGAGGACAAAGAGAATGAGATGCCCCGCAAGACACAGCCCCACCTGTGCTTTGAGATCACCAGTGAGGATGGCTTCAATGTGCAGGCAGACAGCATTGATGGTGAGGAGGAAGAATTGCTTCAGCACAGTAGCTGCTCTCACACTGCCAGCTGAGAGGGTGATAGACACATTGCAACGACACCGGTGGATTGATTCTGCCTTGGAACTAGTCAGAATCACGTTCTGACTGGCTTAGGAAACCTTCTAGGGGTTTTTGGAGAACAGTATGCACCCTAGGGTTTCCTTTGTTTGATGTAGAGTTCACATATTATTGCTTTTAAAGGAACTTGCTCTGTTCCTTTAAAAGCATTACTCATTGCTTTGGGGTTCTCGTTATCATAGTTGCATTTGCAAAAGTAAAGGTTATTAATGAGTTCTGTTCGTGTTGCTAGAAAATTATAAACATCTAAGAAAGTTACAGAAATCTGTAAAGGGCTAGAACATCTCTTCACACTGCCAGTTCTGGTATTGAACTCCAAAAGTATAAAAGATGAAACAAAACTCTAATTCTCTTGCCACTTATGAGTTATAGGAGAATGGGTAGAAGCTGGAAATTCCTGACAAAATGAATTTTAAAAGTAACTTTTGAAAATAACTTTATATGTTACACCAAAAAAAATATTGTGATTGCTTATTACATTTGAAGTTTATCTTTGTTATATCCCCTTGTTACCAAAAATACACTGAGTTTTAGGTAACTACATTATCTGTAACTAATAACTTCCAAGCATTGAGTTGAGAGGATGATTTTTCTTTGAATGTCTTTCAGAATGCTTAATCTTGTGCCCTCTCTCTTCAGGTGCCTGGAAGGCAATGATTGAGAAAGTCCAGGAGGCCCGCACCAATGCCCGTCTGAAGCACCTTTCCTTTGCAGGTATTCTATAAGAGTTCTTTATTGGTTGGTTGGGGGCCCCGAGTGATTCCCAGGCTAGCCTTATAGCACAGGTTGAATATAGTTTTAGTCCTGGGACTGGATTTTTCCAAATAAATCTTGGGGTTTGATGTAATCTGGAAAGTGGGACAGAATCCCCAGCAGGTGGGCTTCAAGTAGATGGGTGGGCTTGAGTACCCTTTTGAGCCTTTGCTGGCCAGGTTGTCCTCACAGGTGGGCTGGGGGTTTCTCCTAGTGTACTGGATTTTCAGTTGCAGACCCTAGAATGTGGTGTTGATGAGTAGAAAGGCAATAATCCCTCAAAGCAGTAAACTACTGTTGCCTGTTCTAGGGAAATCTTTGGATTCTGGTCCAAGACACTGAGTGTATCTCATATATAAAACCAAAGGCCTGAGGCCGGAATCTTCAGCCTCCTCTTTTCTTGCAGGGATGAATGGAGTACGGATGCTAGGCATGCACCATGATGCTGTCATCTTCCTGGTGGAACAGCTGAATGGCGCCAAGGTCTGCCACAAGTACAAGTTCCGCTATCATCAGCATGAAGGGGAAGAAGAGGAGCTTCCCCTCAATCCACATGGCTGTGCCCGAGCTGAAGTCTATGTCAGGTGAGGGAAAGAGTTTTGCCAGCTCTTCTTTAACCATAGGATGGGCAGTTTTTTTTCTAATAGTCAGCTGTTGTGAAGGTATATAGTATGTTGGATAGAGTGTACACAATGTCCTTTCCGGTGAGGCATGGGCAGTTGTGCTTCTCCAGATGTTTTTTTGGACCACAACTCCCATAACTCTTCACCATCAGCTCTACTTGCCCCCATCATCTTGGGGACGGCAGTTGCCCATCCTGTTGGAGGTTTAACCTTTACCTCGGCAAAGATACCATTGAACAGTTCTTTGTAAGTAAATGGGAAAGCAATTCTGTATCATATTTAAAAGAGAAAATCCAAATGTGTTCTAAACTGGGCACCGCTTCTCTTCTGTCCAGGAAGTGCACCTTTGACATGTTTAACTTCCTGGCCTCTCAACACCGTGTACTTCCTGAAGGAGGCCCTTATGACGAAGAAGAAGATGAAGTGCAGCTCAAATCCACTAGGTAAGCAAGTGTTTCGTCTCCTGACTTTTGTTGTCTTTCAGGTAGACTCTACATCATCCACCTTGAACTATTGCTTGCTCATGATATAATAAAGCTAGTGAATCTTTAACCATCCTGATTATTTGGAGCTCCTAGAAGGAGGTCAAAGCTATGGTTTTACCAGTAGCGATGTATGGAAGTGAGAGCTGGACCACAAAGAAGGCTGACCACTGAAGAATTGATGCTTTTGAATTGTGGTGCTGAAGGAGACTCTTGAGAGTCCCCTGGACTGCAAAGAGAACAAGCCTATCCATTTTGAAGGAAATCAACCCTGAGTGCTCACTGGAAGGACAGATCCTGAAGCTGAGGCTCCAATCATTTAGCCATCTCATGTGAAGAGAAGACTCCCTGGAAAAGACCCTGATGTTGGGAAAGTGTGAAGGCAAGAGGAGAGAGAAGGGGACGACAGAGGATGAGATGGGCGAACAGTGTCACCGGATCTACCAACATGAATTTGGCCCAACTCTGGGAAGCAGTGGAAGACAGGAGGGCCTGGCATGCTCTCGTTAATGGGGTCACAAAGAATCGGACACGACTTAACTACTAAACAACAACAAAAGAAGGAGGTTAGCCAACATGATTAATGGAATTACAGGAGTTAGTCCAAAATATCTGGAGGACCAGAGATATTCCACCCCTAAAATATTTTTGTTGTTTAGTCGTTACTGGTTGGAGAAACCCACGAGCCCAACCCTTTCTTTGTGCCTGTCAGCAAATAGCTCAAAATCACATTGGCGAAAGAGAGTTTGCATAAACATTCCTGCTGCTGATCAAACACACTCACACTTTTTTTATCCCGCAAGACATGTTGCTCATCATGCCATGATGTGGAGTCCCTGCTATTCTTCTTGCCCTCTGTGTTACTTTTTTTAAAAAAATTACAGGTCCACCTTGAAAATTGCCTGTATCTTGTCCCTGGGATGCTTTCTGGGAACCGCTTCCAGAACATCTCTTGAAGTTGTCTTAACGGCCTAGTAGACAATCCTCAGCCTGGCCTTGTACTGGGAGTTTCTTCAATCTGCTGTTCTTCCTTAGGCGAGCCACCAGCCTGGAGCTCCCCATGGCCATGCGGTTTCGGCACCTAAAGAAAACCTCCAAGGAAGCTGTGGGTGTATACAGGTAATGTGTCCAAGACAGTGTTTGAGTCCTGGAGCCACAACCCGGGGCTTACAGAGAGGCAATGTCCAAATCCATGCTTGCCTCTAGTCGACACCTGAGAAAACACCTTCCTTCGACTGGCTTATCTTTGGCCTGCTGTGTTCATTCCTCCACCCTACCATGTTATGCAGCTCCTGTGCATTTTATTTATTCTTCATCCCAGGTCAGCCATCCATGGGCGTGGTCTCTTCTGCAAGCGCAATATTGATGCAGGTGAAATGGTGATTGAATACTCTGGCATCGTCATCCGTTCAGTGCTTACTGACAAGCGTGAGAAGTACTACGATAGCAAGGTATCTTTGGGTTCCAACTCCCAGCACCCCTCTCACGTTAGGGAATTCTACAAGTTTCAGGACAAGAAAAGTAACGTTTCCAAACCACAGAATGTACTGGTCATGTCATGGGCGACATTGGGATGTGTGGAGGTTGGTAGAGAAGGAGCTGCGGTCTCCATATCATTTTACTCGTTGTCTTCCTGTCCTTGCAGGGCATTGGATGCTACATGTTCCGCATTGATGACTTTGATGTGGTGGATGCCACGATGCACGGGAACGCCGCCCGTTTCATCAACCACTCCTGTGAACCCAACTGCTACTCACGTGTCATACACGTCGAGGGCCAGAAACACATTGTGATTTTTGCCTTGCGGCGAATCTTCCGGGGCGAGGAACTCACCTATGACTACAAGTTCCCCATCGAGGATGCTGGGAGCAAGCTACCTTGTAACTGTGGGGCCAAGCGTTGTCGCCGCTTCCTGAACTAAAGACTTGTCCTTACCATAACTCCTCAGATCTACTCCCTACCCCAACCCCTCTCTGGTATTGTTGGGAAGGCAGGCATTGCCAGGTGGCAGGGGGGAAGGTTAACCTCACTGTACCTTTGTGATCAGGCTGCTGCGGGATTGACTTCTCTCTTAAGCTCTTCTTGAGGTGCAGGAATGACTCATCTCCAGGGAGAAAGAGCTGTGCCCATCTTGTGGGTGGGAAGAGAGAGGCTCTTGGCAGTGAACGTGGCTTTTTTCAGTCTGGCTTGAAATTATGACAGGTAGAGATATGGGACAAGTGTGGCAAGGGTGACTCCCTTATTTGTGCCCATCTGCTTTATAGGCCTGATTTCCCCCTCCCCCACTTGTGGGTGAGAACAGCATTATCTTTAATTTTGAACTTTTAAATTTTGTGATTTCCCCACTTCCCTGGCTTAGGTTCTCTGTCAAAAAAGAAAAAAAATCAAACCCAGGAGGATGTAAATATTTGTACAAATTTCTAAACCTGTTTATTTTCTATGCACTTTTTTATTTAAGATGCTCAGTCAACTCAGACGGTAAAGGGTTGGATTCTTGTTGGTATAATTTTAAATAAAACGCAATTTTGACACAAACTTGTCAAAGTGGTTCTGTTGTGCATCAGACTGAATGAAGAGAAAATGCTTTCAGCAACATGGGGTATGTTTTCGTCCAGAAACTCTCATCTACAAAGGACAGCTGCCATCTTGTGACAATGTCATGTCTAACTTATTTTTCTAAGGCACAATAGGACTTACATTAGAGGTGGAAGGGGGTCAATGGCCTACATATATTTTGGATTTAATGTCCTAGGAATACTAGCCACCATGGGAGTTAAAGTCCAAAAGAAAGGGAAGCCAAATAAGTTATAACACTAGAAGAGTTACTACTAGGTAGCAAAGTTTCTGTACCTGGAGAAGACAGCCAAAACATGTTGTAGGCCAGTAACAATACCCATGTGTTGTCAAGTCAATTCTCACTTATGGTAACTCTTTTCAGGGTTTTCCAGGTAGAGAATATTCAAGAGGGGATTTACCATTCTATTCTTCTGGAGTCATCCTAGGACTGTGGAATTTATCCAGGGCAATTGCAGATTGGTTCTACTTTGCATGATGCACAGTGAGGAATAAAATTCCCAACCTCTGTCTCCAGTCAGATCCCTAAACCATTGAACTATCCAGCCAGCTAGGTCTTGGATTACTAGTTTTCAAGGCAGCAGAAGAGACATGGAAGCCTGAACAGGACAACGTAGGAAAGGCAAATTGAGACTGCACAGCCTCAGATGACATTAGCAGTGGTAGAAAAAAGAGCTAGGCTAGGAGCTACACGGACCTCACCATGAGCCTGAGGCAAAGCAACTGCAGGCCAGGCCAGGCCAACACCCTCTCCTAAGAGCAACTGGATGGGTGACAGGCATAGTCTAGCTTTTCAATGGTGCAGAATTTGTTTCTACCTGTTGCTACTGCTTCCTGTGTGCAGGGAGAAACGGCAACCATCATGCTACCCTAAAGGGACAGGGGACAAAAACGGGCAGCGTTAGACCTGGCCACCGGCCTCTCTGGCAGGAAAATATCTCCAAAGGTGATTTGGGAAGGCTGTCTTTTTAAAATTCTCCTCCTCCTATTGCTGCTGTGCAAGGTAACACTAGAGGCCACAGTCTGTCATGTCTCCTGAGGGTTCCTCTCACAAGGAAATACACTGCAGTTCAGTCAGTGAGGATGATGACATTAATGGACCTTTGTTATTTTGTGCATGTTTTTGTGGGAGTAAGCCCACTTTATTCTTTTAGGAGGGAGGCCTTTTTTTCTTGACTTCCTTTCCCTGTAACATTACCACAAGAGCTTTGAGAAGTTCTTTATTTGGACTGTAAAAGCCAAAAGCCCCCACCCAGCATGAACTGTATATTACTATGTGGAACAGGCAGTGCAAAAGAGTAAAGGAAGGCAAACTCTGACTGCTAAAATGAACTTCTGCCACTATCTGATACCTTTTTTAATCCTTTTGCTAGAATGTCCTAAGGGATATGTGGGTTTAGATCATACGTTCGTACAGATCCAGTAACTGCTAGACTTTGTAGAACCTGTCTTTCTAGATTCATGAATAGCACTCTGACATTCCCAACATCAAAAACTTCCCATAATGCATTCCTTTTATCTTAGAGGATGAACTGGAATCTAGACTGTGGGTGCCAAGCAAAGTGAACCATGTTTCTTCACTGAAAGCTTACTTGCCTAAGAACTACAGTGCTGGAAGGCACCCTATGGATCATCAAATCCAGCCCCTTTCAAGGAAGCACTGTGGGGAGTTGAACTGCCAGCCTTAAACCCCTAAGCTATCTAACATACTAGTCTAATGTTTCCCTTCACGGATTGCTGCCTTCCAAAGAATTGAATGCCAATTTCCAAAAAATAGCAAGAAGAGACAAGAGGGCCTTCTTAAACGAACAGTGCAAAAATATAGAGGAAAAGAATAGAAAGGGAAAAACCAGAGATCTGTTCAAGAAAATTGGAAATATTAAAGGAACATTTTGTGTGAAGATGGACATGATAAAGGGCAAAAATGGTAGGGACCTAACAGAAGCGGAAGACATCAAGAGGCGGCAGGAATACACAGAGGGATTATACCAGAAAGCTCTGGATGTCCCAGACAATCCAGATAGTGTGGTTGCTGACCTTGAGCCAGACATCCTGGACAGCGAAGTCAAGTGGGCCTTAGAAAGCACGGCTAACAACAAGGCCAGAGAGGAGGTGATCGCACTCCTGTTGAACTATTTAAAATCTTAAAAGATGACGCTATTAAGGTGCTACACTCAATATGCCAGCAAGTTTGGAAAACTTAGCAGTGGCCAGAGGACTGGAAAATACCAGTCTACATCCCAGTCCCAAAGGAGGGCAGGGCCAAAGAATGCTCCAACTACTGTACAATTGCACTCCTTTCACACGCTAGCAAGGTTATGCTCAAAATCCTCCAAGGTAGGCTTCAGCAGTATGTGGAGCAAGAACTCTCAGAAGTACAAGCTGGATCTCGAAGGGGAAGAGGAACTAGAGACCAAATTGTAAACATGCACTGGATGATGGAGAAAGCCAGAGAGTTCCAGAAAAATACCTACTTCTCCTTCATTGACTACGCAAAAGCATTTGACTGTGTGGACCACAGCAAATTATGGCAAGTTCTTAAAGAAATAGGAGTGCCTGACCACCTTATCTACCTCCTGAGAAATCTATATGTGGGACAGGAAGCAACAGTTAGAATTAGATATGGAACAACTGATTGGTTCAAAATTGGGAAAGGAGTACAGCCTGGTTCAAAATTGGGAAAAGAGTATGACAAGGCTGTATATTGTCCCCCTGCTTATTTAACGTATATGCAGAATACGTCATGCGAAAGGCAGGACTGGAGGAATCACAAGCCAGAATTAAGATTGCCGGAAGAAATATCAACAACCTCCGATATGCAGATGATACCACTCTGTTGGCAGAAAGTGAGGAGGAATTAAAGAACTTCTTAATGAGGGTGAAAGAGGAGAGCGCAAAAAATGGCCTAAAGCTCAACATCAAAAACACTAAGATCATGACCAGTGATCCCATCACCTCCTGGCAAATAAAAGGGGAAGATATGGAGGCAGTGACAGATTTCACTTTCTTGGGCTCCATGATCACTGCAGATGGTGACAGTAGCCACAAAATTAAAAAGATGCCTGCTTCATGGGAGGAAAGCGATGACAAACCTCAACAGCATCTTAAAAAGCAGAGACATTACCTTGCTGACAAAGGTCCACATAGTCAAAGCTATGGTTTTTCCAGTAGCGATGTATGGAAGTGAGAGCTGGACCATAAAGAAGGCTGACCGCCAAAGAATTGATGCTTTTGAATTGTGGTGCTGGAGGAGGCTCTTAAGAGTCCCCTGGACTGCAAAGAGAACAACCCTATCCATTTTGAAGGAAATCAACCCTGAGTGCTCACTGGAAGGACAGATCCTGAAGCTGAGGCTCCAATCCTTTGGCCATATCATGAGAAGAGAAGACTCCCTGGCAAAGACCCTGATATTGGGTAAGTGTGAAGGCAAATGGAAATGGGGACGCCAGAGGATGAGATGGTTGGACAGTGTCACCAAAGTGACCAACATGAATTTGACCCAACTCCAGGAAGCAGTGAAAGACCAGAGGGCCTGCCATGCTCTGGTCCATGGGATCACAAAGAGTCGGACATGACTTAACAACTAAACAACAAAATCTAATGTTATACTTAACATCTCCAGTTCATATTGTCATGTTATCCAGTTGGAGGTGAATTATAATGCTCTAATAGGGCTTTCAAGGTAGGTGAACTACTTAAGGAGTGGTTTGACCCACATTCCCAAGTGAGTTTCCATGGCTGAGTATGTCACTTCAACCACTACACCACACTACGTTTTTATATTGGGAACATAATTCCCAAGTGAGTTTCCATGGCTGAGTATGGATCTGAATCCAGATTTCCTGAATCCTGGTCTGTCAGTTCATCTACTACACCACACTAAGTATTTATATTGGGAACACAGAAAAATGTGTTAACAATAAGAGAACTAGTATAGTTGAATATACTTATTAATGTACTTATTATTATCAATGCAATGGAATATAAAAATACAGTAATTGCATTTAAGCAATAAAAAGCATTAAACAATCACTACTAGAACCACTAACCCAAGAATGCCATAAAAGAAAAAGAAAAAAGCCTAAGAGTCCACATGGGTCTTCAAAGGCTTTCCTGACGGCCTCAGAGAAAAAGGGCTGCTGAAGCCCACCCCAAACTATCAGGCCAGGACCGGAAAAGTGAGGATCATCTTCTTGCCAAACTAACTTAACTTGCCACTGGGCAAGCGAGAAAGGCCTCCATAGTCTGAGTGTGAACAGACTCGTCCGGGCAAAGTCTGGAAATAAAAGGCTAGAGGAAAAAGATCAATGCCATGCCTAACAGGCATACACCCTGCACATGTTCAGGAATTAACAAACCCCAACCATACACACCCACCCTAGAAATAGGGTGCAAAACTCAAATTTCACATGTAAGACGGTCAGGAGGGCCCACTTCACCAGCTTCAGCTAAGCTGGAAAGCACGGCGGGGAACCCTGGGCGACCCTCCCGCCACGCGCCCGTTGGGGATAATGGGTGCTGTAGTCCATCTCTAAAGGGCCACAACTCTCACGGCCCTGAGGTAAAAAGAGCCCCGCCCCCTTTTTTTCCGAAGCCTAGCCAGAGGCCGCGGTCCTAAAGAGCGCCATTCTCCTCCTCATTCCACAAGCAACCCCTTTCCTCTTCCGCCCATGAACACAAAGAGCCGCGTACGCGCGTCACCACCGTGGAGGGAGCCTTTCCGCCTTTCTAAATAACTACAACGACCGGCATGCTTTGCTCTCTCTCGCTCTCTCTCCCGCCGCCATTATCTCAAAGATCCCAGCATGCACCGGGACAGGGTGCGGCTTCAGAGGACAGTATTTTAGGTAAACTCACACAAGGTGACAAAATGGCGGATTGGGGGGGGGTGTTG